CATGGTTCCTCCACCCTTCAACCCTACCTGTCACCCTCCCTCCATCCCCTGCTGCATGCCACATACCTCTCACCTCTCCTTCTGGTACCTGACACATCTCTCACCTCTCCCGCTCCCCTCTCCATCCCCTACTTTGCCACTTTCTCTCATCACCCGCTACCCCTCCACCTTGCATATCAGCCCTCCTTGCCCCCTCGGTTTGCCTCCCATATTCCTGCCCCAGCGTCTCGCTCCGATCCCCTGCCTGTCCGTCTCCACTTTCTGACACTCTACGTGTCTCTGGTGAACTTCCTTCTGTGTTCCATCTGCCCCTTTCCCACCTCTCCCACTCCCTTCCAGCAGACCCACCTACTCAACGGGTGCTCACCATACATGCAGGCACACACACACACACACACACACACACACAGGCGGCCTGGAGCTGTCACCGTGCTGCTCGGACTGTCCGGGCTATGCCGCTGTCATGCAGCAGGGGGAGTCTCGGTTACTGAGCAGAGGTGGGGCGGTGGACAGAGCAGCGCTTCAGGGTCAAAGACAAGATTCAGTTTTGCTTGAGGAATTGATTATTTTTCCTTATGTACTAACATCTTCTATTTTTATGTATTCCATTTCTTTTTGCAAGTTCTTCTTGAGAATACCACCTACTAACAACATACCAAAAAAAGCATATTTCTCGTCTACTTATTCGTCTGCTGTCTTTCAAACGACCAAGAATTGTGTCAGAGATGTTCACTCTGAGGAAGGATTGTTTCAGTTTCTCCTGTACACCACCAAATGCTAAATTTAGCTCTTAAAAAAAATACTCATGTTCCAGGCTGTATGTGTTTCACAATTTTCTGTAAAGACTTCATCAGTACATACGTAAGAATTTTTTTTTTTTTTTACTGAAATCAGTTAATTTCTTTTTAGCTTTGAAGTCATTATAACTATATGTAAATGTTTTTGTAGATATTTTTGAGACACAATGATATCTAAACTGAAATAAAATTTCCATCAATGTTTTTAAAAAGCTGAATTTAATCTTCTGCCCAGTTTGTTGTGGCCTCTTCTTACAAAAACACAAGAACGTTACACGAAGGACTTTTAACACGCATATTTTGTTAAGGTTTGGTGATAATTTACTTTAGATAACACTTTTAGCTTTTTTTCATGAAGGGCTTCTGTGGAATGTGAGAAACTTTTTTAGCATCTTTTTTTTTTTTTTTTCAATTTAAGATAATTGTACAAGCTGACTACCTGTTGCTTGGATATCGCATTGGTACAAATTCAATGCTTAACAATCTTGCAAACACCCCTGAATACGTGGGTTCCAACAAACCTATGACTTACTGCACATTTTAGTAGCACGGCTCAGCACACAACAGCCCTATGATCTGTCTACTGCCCCCACCTGCTGGTTAGAAAACAATCATGTTTTTGTTACTCAACAATTTGAACCCCTGCCAATCTTTACGTGTCTTTTTGTCCGAGTGTTTGCGTGTGTGTGTGTGTTCATGTGTGTGTTTTACACAGAGATGTTCAGTCACTTCCACCCACTTAGTATTTCTCTATCTAGTTTGCAATGATCTATATCCCACACCTATCTCCTGACTAACAATAATAGAGTACAGCATCAGAGGATCGCTGAACCGGGGCTGTTGGTCTGATGAGCCTCACATGCTGACAAGTACAAATAACCACCCACCCTTTATCAAACCTGCACGTACAGTAACAACAGCGTGGTGGCTGGTGTTGCTTATGTCACACCATTACTTTTGGAAGCTGAGGGAGTGTAGAGTCGGTGACCTTAAGAACTGTTGGGCCCGTACTATGTTTATGGTTTTGCCATTTATAACACTCACAGACGGAGCTGACTCGGCCACAAGCACACGGAAATACCATCATGCGTCCTCTCTACTGCTAATTGGTGCCTCAGAGCCATCCTCCTGCCATGTGCGTCTTCTCCAGAGGCCCCACGTGTCTGCACCTTCACAAACAATTTACTTGGGAAAATTTCATCACAGGCTAAATTCATGGTGAAAAAAGAAACCATCAAAATAAAATGATGGGGGAGGGCAATCTAATTGGGGGTAAAAAACTAAAACAAACATTCATTCTAAACATGTAGGACGATTTTCCCAAATTCACAAAAAATTTAAATGTATTATTACCAATAAAACCTTTATATTTCACAACACCCATTTAAAAGTCCACTAAAAAAAACTTCAATGAATGTGGAAAATACTAATTAATTGGGTATTTTATGTCAGTAATTGAGCGAGACACATCAAGAGTAGAAAGGTTGCTCTTTTTTCACAGTTAGCAAATTAATTGGCGCAAGGTGAGGGTGTCATCACTGGGTATAAAAATAACATTCCCCAAGGAAAACTTGTGTGAGAACATGTGCAGAGAATTTTCATGCAGTAGAAATAAAAAGAATAAGTTTAAGACAACAATTAAAGGTTTTAAAATACTCCTTACTTCATGGTTGCAAAGAACATTTTCATCATCCATGGGTCATAAAATTGTCAAGCAACATGGCCTGAAGAATGCAGAAGAAAATCAGTTAAAACTCTGTTAGGCTTGAGCATGTACAAAAAGATGAAGGACATGTTCTGTCCTCAGATGAGTAAACCTCTTATATACTTTTAGGAAATAGTTAATCTTTGGTTCTTTTTGTTAAAGATGAGAAAGACTATTCTGACATTCTTACCATTATCACAGAGGGATGCAAATGCCAGGTCTGTGATACTTTGAATGAGCACCAGTGCCCATGATATTTGCTTATATGTGAAGGTATAATTGATACAGAGGTGTGCATGGACATTTTGGAGGGACTTATCCTACCATAAAGGCAACTTATTTTCCAGGGAGCTCAGCGGGTATTTCAGCAGGGCGATAGCAGGCATGATTTACCACAGCATGGCATCTGAGGCTCAGTGTGTGTGTGATTGACTGGCACTGCCTGGGGTCCAGCTCTGTAAGTCGCATCATGAAAAGGGCATTCAGACAACAAAGACCACACGCGGACAGTTGAACAGATGAAACCAGAAATTCAGCATGAATATCCCAACATAGGTTCCTCAACTCCCAAATGATTAAAAAGTGTAATTACAGAAAGCAAATGATCTTCAATACTATGGCATGCCTCTATTTAAACTTTTTATGCAATGCTGGTGTAAAATTTTAGATTTCGAGATTTCGAAATTTTGGATATCTGTTAACAAAAGCTTTAAATGAACCAACCACCACTATTCAAATTAATTACCTTCAACTTATTTTCCATATTCTCCAATTTACACCAGCATTTTAAAATGATTAAAACCTTTCTTGGTACAATTTTGATCCGAACAAATATGCATCAATGAATCTGAATAATATTCTGCATCATTTACTCTAGGTGAGGCATATAGATCATTTTCAGTTCTATTGTCTGAAATTAAAAGTTTATCATTTTGTGCTTTGCACTTGCTCCAAGAAATTTAAATTACATAGAGAGTACATATAGGAGTTTACATTGAGAGCATTTCTTATCAGTGCACTTAAAAATAATCATATGTCTTCTCTTTAAATATTTACTTTTAATTTTCAATTTATTTTGTGTCGTGCACACAGGCACATCACGAGCAGACATTTTTAGAACAATGCAATTACAAACCTGTTTTATACTTCAGTTCCCTTGGCAACAAGGCAAATTAGCCTGGGCGTTCATTTGTTATTTAACTTCAGATGTGTTTTTCTGTGAAAAGAGATACATTTATTGATAACAGAAATAATGTTTATGGTAGGTGGTGTGTTAAAACATGTGACTGTAGGAATTTCTATACAATTTAAAATTTCCTGAGCTCCACAGCACTTTTTCCTTAAAGATATACAAAGAAAGGTGGTGTAGTCAGGACATGCGAGGTGAGGCCACATAAATGGAGCATCTGCTCAAGGCGAAAGCCCAGCAACACGGGAGGGGAACGGAGAACTGAATAGCTGTGGGTGATGCGATGAGCACAACAAAGTAATTATGCGAGGACTAAGGATTGGGAGAGCGAGTGAGAAGAAACTGGGGACTGAGAAGAATGAGAAAATTAGAAGAAGAAAAAAACAGAGGGTGTGGAAGGGTTGGGGGTTGGGGAAGCAGCAACCTGCTGGAGTCTCCATCACACCAAGGTAGTTAATTAGCTTCTGGCTGTGAGGTTTCTGCAGCCATCTGGAGAAGAAATGAACTTTTACCACTTGACTATCTGTCCAATTTCAGATTCGCACATCTGTCTTTTATTACTTACCAAAGATAATTTGATTTTCAGTACTGTTTGCCATTCCATCTTATATTTTGTGAGTTTATTTGTGTACATGAAAAACACACACATATGCAGAGAATCAACTTTAAATGCAGATTTAGTCATCGTTCATTTTCATGTCTATACAGTATTCACAGGGTCGCAGGAGAAACAGACACAAAAAAGTTCATATGTTGAACTTCCCCCATTTTCCACACGAGGTCACAATTTCACTAGAAGGCGTTTTGAGCAGCAGAACAGTCTAATTTGTTCGTGTGGGGTGGTGTCCTCGAACTTAAAATGGATTTTCCGTGTTGACATTGCATTGTTCTGCATTTTTGTGCATTTACAATTGTGATAAAAACACTAAATAAATGTACATCACTGATTCACACAGACTGCAGACTGTTTTCTTATAAGTTAACAACATCATAAACTAATGTGTTTTAACATATTGTATCCTGCCAAAGTGGGCCCATTGTTCTGGGAAGTTGATAAAGTATACCTGCACATAGTTTTCCTCGTGAAGTGTTTAGAACAAAACTAGATGCAAAAGTAAGAAAAAAAGTCGACATTTGTGAAACAATGTAATTCAATCTAACCAAAATAAAACAATTGGACATTCCACTGAAATTTTGAATGTCAAATGTGTTGTTTGTCAGCTGTTTAAGCCTTTTGATTGTATTCACTTTTTCTTTTCTGTTTCAAAATAGTTGGGGGTTCCTATCTGACGGAACTTCATTTCCCACAATGCTGCAGTCTCGGTTGCACGTGTCAACGCTGGCAGCAGACCGGTGCGAACGTCACATTCCTACATTCCCCTTTTCCTCAGAGTGGGACGTCGGAGTTGCCACCACAAAGCTAATCTCCGTTGCCTGTCTTTTTTTTTTAACAACACACTCATGACGCCGCGGGTTTGATCTCAGGGGGTGATCCCGGCTTCTCCAGGAGTCACAATCTCGCATTGGGTGAGGATTTATCCCGTTTTAAGCCGGTTGAAGGCGCCTTCTTTCCGTTGGAGTTCTGTAACCGTGTGAACCAGACAACAGTTTACGAACGGTGTGGTGCATTTGCTGCTATTAGTCACCGTGTGCGGGCTGCTGCTGCTGCTTTGACCCCCCCACACACACACCCGACACCCCCTGGCCAACCTGTTGGTGTTACGGTGATGACAAAGTGCTGTAAATTGGCAGTTTAAAGGCCTGTTGTTTACTGTTGCTCAGTATCGCTAACGTTAGCCGGCTGGTTAGCCGCAAAGCTTGCGTCACCATTGTTACCGGCGATACGCGGACTCACACGCCCGGGCGTGGGGGCTCCTCCACATGTGTCTTTCTTTTATCACGACACTGGGTACTTTGTCGGGGCTGTTTTTGGTCAATAATGTCCCGTCGGGATAAGCAACTTGGTAGCTGGATGCCGGGCTAGCGACCCATGCGATTTGGGCGTGGCTATACGTGCGAAAATAGTCAAACCTGTAGCTGATGGCGAGATGGAATCTTCGAAACCATTTGCTAATTTGGTTTCACTAACACAACAATGCATTTATGCGACAGGAGTGGCGTGAATTGTCCTTTATGTCAGGCTGCCCAGCAAAGAAGCTGAGCTAGCCGCAGATCAGCATGCTGCATCAGCTGTTAACCCTCACAACAATGAGTGGCTCACACTGGACTGGAGCAGGACACAGTGAGATCAGTGACATTTCTCACTATTTGTGGACGTTTATCTGTCAAACCCTTATAGGAATGTCACACCCAAAGCAGGCCAGACTGACTAGGTAGCCTAATAACACATTTTTCTGTCATGAACTGATCCCAAACTGCTTGGTTTGCACACTGACTTGTAACTTGCACTCTTCCAGAAATCTGTAGTTTACCTCTTATTACTCAGATAGTATATGCTTTTAAGCTGTTTTCAATGCATGGTGAGATGGTGTTTTGTTTTTTTACAGTTATCTCCAAGTCCAGTTTGCTCATAACATTCCTGAGATTGCTGCCATTCAAAGGCTGATTGGATCAGAGTGACTTTTTTAAGATAAAGGAATGTTTGGTTGCTGCCACAGGTCATGTGAAGGGGACCCCTTTCAACTGACTGAGCTTTCTCACACCGCAAAAGCAAATGTATGGAAATAATCTTCGACAGTTTCTTTTTCTTTTCTTTTCTTTTTTTCACTCAATGGCTGACAATACTTAGATATGTCAGAAGAGTTTTCTTTTGAACGAAGGACATCTTTTACTTGCTGACAGTTCTTCAGCTAACACCTGAGTCCAGACCTTTGTGTCTGCCTACTCTTCACCAACTGACGCTGGAAATACAGATAAATGACTGTGCAATTTTGCCCTATTTGAGGCCCTTGTGGTGCCTCGGCAGCAGCCATGTGCTAATTTCGTAGTCTTTCGAGTGGTAAATCGGGTTCAACCAGTGGTGAGTACGTTAGTAATTACATTAAACAGTACCTCTCAGAGCTGGGTTTTATGGTGATTTAAACATCAATAGAAGAAAATATGAAACAAGTAAAACTGCATTTCATCATAACAATCTAAGAAAAATAAGTGATTTAATCTTTAGCAGCCAGAAGTTTTTATTTAAATCGACTCAGTTGTAGCTTTTGGGAGCATTCCACAGTCATTTTTAGTTTAATTGTTTTCTTTGCCATTTGTTTTATACTACAGTCATGTCCCTCTGGAGTATAAACACTTGGCTGAATGTATGTAAGTGAACCTTGATAAGGGAGAAGCAGTTTCTGACATGCTAATAACACCTACATCAAAAGTAAAGCCTACAGATCTGTGCACGTCCTGCTCGAGTGAAGACGTATTCGGCCTCTGCCCCCATCTGTTGCAAAATTGCATTATAAGCAGACTGTTTGCAAGTGCACATCAGCTGTATGGATCGTCTAGGCTCGACCTGAGGGAGAGCCTCGTTCTTGGCCATTTAACAGGAGTCAGTGCATCGTCATCACCCTTGTGATCTGCAGTCCCAGCACATGAAAGTGCTGCTGCTGTACTCTGATCGCTGCATGCCAGAGACAGCAACAGGTATTATTAGGAGTTGTGTAGCACAGCTGGCTGTTTGCATGCGGTGTTTTGAGGGAGACGGAGGGGGGAGCGAACTCGGAAGTGGGAGCCAGTCTACAGAAAAAGTGGAACACCCTGAGTCACTCCGCGCTGCAGAGAACTAGCCTCATCTCAGTGGGAACAGCTTCTCATTACCTGCCGGTACGGCATGGATGAGTGTGGAAAAAGAGATTACGATATGGGGTGATTTTTAAAAAAGGACATACAGCAGCTCTGGAGGAGGTGGGACATGAGAAGGAGGCTCTAAGGCTGAACTCTATACAGCAATACAGAACAATTGTGTGGATGCCGCTCTAGTTTTGGTTGTTTTTTTTTGTTGGCATGCTTGTTTTGTCCTCTTCTCTGTTTAGGCCTGAGCGAGAGTGCTCTCTGGAGAGTTGCAGACTAACCATTGTCACCTGTCTTTCAGCTTTTGTTTAGCTGTGAGGTCTCCCTGCTAACTCACCTTCATTCCAGTTGGGGAGCCAGCAATCAGCTTGATGGACCATCATTTGTGTGCATGTTTTTGAACAAAATGGCATTGTGGGAGCACAGTCCCAACAAGTGCACAGTTCTGCACATGCCCAATACTCTCCCATGGTCAGAGGGAGACAATGGGGCTATTGTGTGAGACATACACATATGGACCCCCCTTTACATGTTTACATTTGTAGTCTGTCCGTGACTGGTCTGTTCCTTTGGATCCAGGTCACTGAGCTCAAACTCGGCTCATCCATTCTTCCAGAAGCGTATTTGTGAGGTCACACTCTGATGTTCGACGAGAAGGTCCAACTCTCAGTCTCATCCAAAAGGGTTCACAGCCATTTTGGAGGAGGAAGGGGCCATCCCATCCCTAAACTTTCCCCTTATTCTTTGGGGCATGTCCAAAGTGTCTCCATTCATTGGTACTAAGAGGCCAAGCCCCAGCTCCCACTTTCCACTGGGCACAATCGGTCAGACGAGTAAAACCAGACCCCGTCTTGTCCATCAGGTGGCCAGATGACCAAGCAGGATTTGTCACTCCGTAAAAAAGGCGTTTCCACTGTTCTGAGTCCAGTGGCGGCGTGCTTTAAAACCCCTGCATCTGCCGCCTGCATTGCACTTGATGTGATGTGTTGCTTGGATGCGGCTTCCAATAATGGAAACCATGATTGCATAATAGAGCTTGAAACTGGATTTTAATGTAATGCTGCCCATAGATCTCAAAGACCATGTTTTATTTATTTTTTATTTTCAACCAAATCACTTACACACAAAATACTTTCATGATATAGATATAGTTTTTACCTCTCGGGGTTCTCTAGTTGTCCAGCCATGATACTGACCGGTGTTCCTCCGGCTGAGAGGTGTCCCATATGACCTTATAATCTTTGCATAGCAGTAGAGTTTGTCACTGTCACCGGTCAGAGTCCTAAACACTGTCGGTGTAAGTATTTACAGGTCATTGCATCCTGTTTATTTCACACAGTGTCACTGGAACTGCTTGGTGGGATTGGGGTTGCAGAAGAAAGGACAGTGTAACATAGCTTTCATGGTTAGCTACATTTGTTAAGACTCCCAGTCTGGAGAAGTCCAGATTAGGTGAATTATCTGCTCTCTCTGCATGGGGTGAGAACATGGACTTGGACTCCCACTGGGGCAACAGGGTCTCATGATCTGCTCAGTTTGGATTATAAGGATTTTGTTTCTTACTGTTTGGTTGTTTGAAATCTGTATCCGGGCTTCTTTCGCACACAAAAATAGAGAAAAAGCAAAGCCGTCACATCTAAAGAAAAAAACAGGAAATAAAAGATAGATGAGATGAAATATATAGAAGAAATGTTGTTTAAATATCGCAGCTGTTTATTTTTCATCCAATAAACAGTGACCGCCCCTAATTTCTTCAGTTTTGACTCCTGGATTTGGGCATTCGTGGTATCAGGGGGCAAACATGGTATTGATTCATGTCCACGTCTGTGCCCCTCAGACAAAGAGGCAGTGTGCTGTCTGGTGCCACGCTGTGGCTGTCTGGCCAGTTTAGCATCTGTCTGAGTGGAGCTGAGCCCCGGGCACCGTGCTCGGTCTGGTCGACCGTAGCAGGAGCTGCCGGGCACCTCACCGAGCGGCTCTGTGCCGGCTCAGGTTAGGAGCCGTGTATCAGGACCTCCCCGCGCTAGTGTTAGTGGATTAGTCTGTGGCTCTGGCCCTCATGTGTCCTGAGTAGCTGAATGTTTCGATCAATTAATATTTAACTCTGATTATCAGGTGAACGGCAAATTTATAGAGCCACGTGAGATACTTTGAACCGTCTTTTCTATTCTGCGCTATGTTGTAGATTAGACGATGTTGGGGATATCTTTGTCTGGGATTAAGTGTGTTTGATGTCTGTGTGTTGCATGCTGCCACAGCAGCAGCAGCAATGGATGTGTGGCCAGGACGGGATGGCGGGCAGCTCTTTGTTAGAACAGCTGGCTGAGGTGACTGAGGGGGAGTGAAAGGGTGGATACAGGAAGGAACAGGGGAGGAGCCAGAGGGACTGAAAATATGTAGTTTGGGGAGAAAGGAAAGGACTGGATCAGACTGCAGAGACATTCTGTCCGTGGCAGTAACAAACTTATTCATCAGACGTTACATTTGCCTTCATGGGTGAATTTCTTTTGTTGCTGTTGCATTTCAATCTTTGCTCCCCCCACCATTAGGAGAGCAGCCAACATAAGTCCAATAGCCCATTATTCTCAGACTGTGATATTTTCTTTGGGCTTCTGGGCCATCAGGGGACTTTTTTAATTCACTGGCATTAATAATGATAGTAATATAATAATAAAAATTTACAGTACAATTCAGTTCTATTAATCTAGTTTATCTTTATGCATTGGTATGTATTGGTTTGCAAACGAAAGATGAGTGTGTGGTAAATCTAAAACCGTAATTTGTGTTTCGTGTCAGTTTTTTTCTGTTTTTCTTGGAAACCAGAGGTTCCTCCATTCCGCTTTCCTCCCTTGTGCTCGGGTTCTTATGTTCTGTGTGCTGGATACTGGAGACTTTTTGAAGTCTGGGTCAGAAAAAGTGGTAACTCTAATCTCCTCCCAGCGTCCTCTTCTCACCGGCACCCCACAGAGATGGTAGTGTACTTTGATTTGTTGACTGTCACTTGAGCAAAGGTCAAACTGGTGTTATTTCAGAGGAGAAAACCTGTTTGTCCAACTGAATGCAGCCACCAGTCAACCGGGAGCTCGTATAAGAGGCTAATGGGGGATTGTGTTCAAATTCAGCAGATTACTGCAGGTTTGGAATGGTGGGTTGTGAAACGCAGCCGGTTTGAGTGGACTTTGAGTCCTTTTCCACTGTTCCACAGACATTTGTGAAATTGCTGCAGAACCATTGTTCGCTTTAAAGCTGTTTGAGCAGTGATTTGCTGCTCCTGCACAGTAACCACTTCCAAAAAGAATAGATAACAAGGCAAAAGGCCTGTGTTGGAAGGTAGTAGTGAGAGGGGATGTTGGATAAGTATTGGTGGCTGTTCCCCCTCAGGCAGTAACCCTACACTACATGTGAAGGTGAACAGAAGGACGCTGGTCTGGGATGAAGCCACACAGAATATGCATGTGTCCCCCATTTATTTGTACTGAATGTGGTTCCTTTGACTCAAGCTGTGCTGGAATCACTGTGACTCAGCTCCATTCACTTAGGTTTGAATGAATAATCTGTTATTAAAAACATCATTTCATGAGTTTTTTTCATTTTTTTTGTTACCTATTTTGTTGTTGCCTATTTTAGCATATACAATTCACATGCATTTTGCCATAGAAAGACCAAGGCCAGTATACTTCATAAAGGGGGATGTGTGTAATTATGTGAATATGCCAGAAGCAACGTTTAGGTGTTCATCAGAAAATGGCTTTAAGTGATGCTGCTGTTATTGTCACTCAGGATTGTAAAGCCTCACTGAAGGTGCTGCTGGGGCTGAATGGAGCTGCACGCTTTAAATGAGTGCCATTATTGACAGTTAAGGCCATGTTGCTCGGAAACCTGTTTCAGGATATTGCCGGTGTTTCCACCAGTATTTTGCAAACATTATATCAGATGCTGTTGTCATCTTTCTTCCTCGAATATATTCTAATTATTATTGTGATATCCTTGATTTTATATTGAAATCCTTATGGTTCAGTTTCCAGGAGCACAGATTGATAAATTTGGAATTATTTCTAGTATCACTAAAATGAATTGAAGGATTAGGAGGAATATGTCTCAGTGCCTCAATGATAGTTTTCAACATGTTCCCTATTTCCATTTACGTAGTTTGGAACTGTGTAGCCACCTACAGTAGCAGTAAATCAGCAGGCTAATCAAAGCCCTGGGCTTAATGTATGGATGTACAATACTGTACTATTGACATGGATGGATTATAATTCTCACACTGGGTCAGATTACAGATTACAGCAGGGCGGGTTGACCTGCTATACAATGTGAAGAGATTACTGCGGGGCTAAATGTGCGGAAAAAGTTTAGCAGCAAAGCGGTGAGCAGGACAAATCTTTTTTATGGTCCATAGGGCTGCTACTGATCTTCTGATGGAAGATCCATCCATCCATCCATCAATTATCGTAACCGCTTGTCCCCTAATGGGGTCACGGGGGGGACTGGAGCCCATCCCAGTGGTCAATGGGTGAGAGGCGGGGTACACTCTGGACCAGAGACATGCAAGGACAAACAACCACACACACTCACACTCACTCCTAAGGCAATTTTGGAATGTCCAATCAACCTAACATGCAGGGTTTATTGGACGGCTGGAGGAAGCCGGAGAACCCGGAGAGAACCCATGCAGACACAGGGAGAACATGCAGACTCCACACAGAAAGGTCCTGGGACTCGAACCCAGAACCCTCTTGCTGTGAGGCGATGGTGCTAACCACCACACCACCGGGCCGCCCCATGGAAGATCCTATAAGGACTTTTTAAAATCGGTACCAAAGAAGTTTATGCTGGCGATACCATTTTTTTAATGTGAAGTTTGTCTGTACTTTGTTGTATCTTAATGCCACACTCCTGCACGCAGTGCAACAGTTGGTAAAATCCAGCTTCTGCTGAAAATGTACAACAAAGATTTGATTTGGTCCGTAGACAGTCCCGTAGCCTGAACCAAAACAAAGACTTTAGACCTTGTGTGGCTGACTAGTTGGCTGGAAATGCGCAGGGTTCCCCAGCGAGTCCCGAGGGCTCAGCAGATACCATTCTGCCTGCTCCAGCCATAAATCCTCTTTGCATGGCTGCTGATCAAGCCGTGATGTAAAGGAGCTTAGTTGTAATAGACAGGCAGGCGGGAAGCTGCTTCGCTGTTGGCCAGGGGTCAGGTGACACACACCACTCTGACATGAGGGAGAGATGGCGAGGTGGTTGTAGGCATACAAACAGGGAAATGGACGTGGGCAGGTGTGTTGACGGTGAGATCAGCGCCGACTTGTGAGCTTTCTGAAGATGCATCCGACTCATTCTAAGTGAGGAAACAGGGCGAGCTGCAGCTCCACTGCAGGACAGTGTTGCTAGTAGGTACTCGGTTCGAAGCGAGCCATGTATATGCACCGGTAGATGCTTTCTGATCACAGGGAGGACACATGTCCTCTTCTATTGTCGTCAAGTGAAGAAGGACAAACGAGAGTAAGACGACCAGTTATTTTTCTGATTTTCAGTAAATCTTCCACTTGCATATAGAACCCTTAACACTACTTTCCTGCAGCGTAAATGATATGTGAACAGAATAAAGTGTTGATTTAAAAAATGTTGTCTCATGTAAACATGCTTCCTTCTTGCACTGAATTTTGAACAAAGTTATTTCTCTATCTTTATCCTCCCCTCTACACAGGTCACTTTCTTCCCTTCTCCCCCCCCTCCCCTCCCCCTCCTCCTCCCCCCCACCTCCCTCCAGAGCACCGGTTGCCATGGAAAACTCATCAGTGGCGTCTGCATCGTCTGAGGCTGGGAGCACACGCTCACAGGAAATAGAAGAGCTGGAGCGCTTCATCGACAGCTACGTGCTGGAGTATCAGGTGCAAGGGCTTCTGGGAGACAAGGCAGATGGGGAGTTGGATTTGGACAATGGCGGCAAGGTGCCCCAGGTTAGTCATTTCACCTCAGTTCATCAGACCCAGACCTGTTTGCACTTACCAGTAAGGTGGAGGAGTTTTTACCGCCACTGCACCAGGATGTGCAGCCCTGCTGTTAGAAGCATGAGAGGCTCAAAACGAACCCTGTGCTGTGACTGGTTGTATGAACAAGACTGGTCATTTTGCAATGAGAACATGTGAGCAAATCATGCAAGATTTGTAGAAATAAGGATCATTGTATGTCGAAGGGGTGCAACCACGTCAGTTTGGTTTATCTGAATTTCTGTCGGACAAAAAGTGTCCAAGTGTGCATCCTAACCAGTAAGAAGAAGAAATTAAAAACAACCTCCCCTTTTGTTTTTTAATCCAGTGGACTGATGACTCCATCGACAAGGGAGATGGCAGCTGGACATCATCCCAAGGCAGAGGCTCGTCTAAACCTGTAAGAATGTTTGAAAGGTTATGTGTTTCCTCCACCTTTGCTGCTCTCAGGCCATAAAAGCAGGAGCAATCTGAGACATACAGATTGTTTTATTTCCAATAGATTATATGCAGCATGTACTGCAGTCTCTGTGAGCTCGTAAAATATTTTGTCGCGAATATTTGATATTTTGGAAACAGAAAATTCAGTGGTTGTGCTTAAAATTACGTGGTTGAAGATCACAGCCTAAAGTCCTTCAGAATGTATTACATTTATCTGCCCACACAGAAAACTTTTTCCCTTTTCATACAGCTTTCATTCGACACCCATGAGTCACGGCCCTGTGTTTTTAAGTCCTTTATTTTATAATTGATTGGAGGTCATCTACAGATCCCACATTTATCCTGACTTGTGTCTGTTGTCGTCATTCTGATTTCTTCTCAAAATGTGGAAAAGCCCAGGGCTTCTCTACACATTCACCGTCATGACTTGGATAGATAAAAGAACCCTTAAAATGTCAAAGGCCCATATTTTCAAAGGTCTATCAAAAATGTTGTTTTGTTGGTTATTTATGAAAGTGAGCCTCTCAATCGTGGACTTACACCCCAAGACAAGCACAGGGATTGAGAAGATTTTCTTGTATACACCGATTGAACTTTATTCATAACTTTACAGTGTAAAGCTAGTAGAATGCTTTGGAAATCTCCTCGCACACCTTTGCGGCCTCATAGGTACTTCAAAACATCACAAACACTCTTTCGCTTGTGCATGTGTACCAGGACACATGCCAAATGAATGATCAGTCATCTAAGTGCCTGAATATTGGAGTTTATGCCTGTTTTAATATCTGAGCCTTTAAGACGACAGAAACAAACTTAAAGACAACCAGAAATAGCTGGAAACCTCTCCCAATACATGCTGCCTTCAATGGAAATGAGAAAAGTTGTGTTAATAAGGGCTGCATTGCTCATCCTTTTTTGAGTTCAACAGATATTACACATGTTGATATTGCTGTAATTATTATATAGTAACTCTTACGAACACAGGAAAATATTAACAAACTGACTTTCCTTTTTCTCCACTTTTCAGGATGATTGGGAGCACAGCAGCAATGGCAGTACAGGTTCCAGGCCCAGCTCAGGGTCCAGACCCGGGTCTGGCTCACGCTCTGGCAGCAGAGGCCGAAACAACCAGTTCAAAGCTCCTGCTAAGGTACGGGAACTTTTTTATTAGTGGTAGTCTGGGGTCGCAAACTGCAACAACTTTCTTCTCAATATTTCTTATAAAGATTTTTAGAGAATCTGCTTTAAACTGACCATGGGTTATTTTGTTTCCTTTGTTTTCTTTTTGTAGAATGGAAACAGAGAGGGCTCCCTTGACATCCTGGGGACAGATATATGGGCTGCTAACACAATGGATTCTCATGGGTATGTATCCTGCCACACATATAGTCATAATGTCACATCAAAAATAGAGGAAGCAACTCTTGATTTTAAGCCCTCGTTCTTGCTACCGAGGCATCTGAACAAAACTGTGCTTTTATCTTGTACTCATTATCCAATTGAGATTTACTAGTGAGGGGGACGAAAGACAGGAAATAAATGTCGTTTCCACAGTAACATCTGCAGAATAGCTCCATCTGCCTGACTTCCGGCCACGTTGGCACATCTGAGCTCAGTAAATGATACAGCTCAGGGCAGTCACATGATGTGAGCAGCTCTGCCCTCATGAAGACAGCGATGCTGTTAATTAAGTTGTTCCCGTCCTTGTAATTAAAACTGTACAGGGAAAAATGGAACAGTTCAGTCCTTCAAGCACCTTTTTAATGCCCAAAACTCCTTTTTTTTTTAACTGTATGCTGTCATAGTTTCACCATAATTAATTCTAATAATAAATTATATTCATTGAATTTATATAGCGCTTTTCAAAGACCCAAAGATGCTTACAAGTAAATAAGAAATAGCGTAAACATAAAAAAGAAAAGAAAAACTTTCACTGAGGTGGAAGAAACACAGCATAAAAGCACTCAAGTTCTTAAATGGTTTAAAATACGCAGGGGCAGCTGTGTCATCATCCTAAAAAGCAACTATATTGAACTATAATAGGATGATACCCCAATGATATTTGTCTTTATTGATAACCTCCTATAGAAGCATCTGTGTGCTCCTTTTGGCTATAAATATTTAAACGATTTGTAAACTTTACACATTCAACTTGTGTGTGTGTGTTATTAATAGATGAGAATCCTGATACACTTCTCCTGCGCAGACATTCTGCGGAGACTTTGCTTTTCCTATTTTCTCCTGAAGATCGAGCCTGAATTATTCAAGTAAAAGGAAGAGAAACAATTGAAAATCTTTTGTCTGTGTGAACTTGAACAGTGATTGTCCATGGATGTGCATGAAGACTCTGTAGCTTTAACAGTTGTTTTGTCCCTTTGCTTCAGTGGTGCAGGTTGGGACGTGCAGCCAGAGAAGCTAGACTTCAGCCATTTCCACAGGAAACACCTCAGAGGAATGCCAAAGCACCTGCCACATATTGACAGAGAGGGGTACAATTTGTCTTTACAAATCTTTAAGATTTGGTTTTACTGATGCTGCCACGCTCGGCCTCTTGGGCCTCTGATCCCTCCTTATTGTCCACGTTTTGAGCCAACAGCTCTAATCCTGTTGTCCAGTGACATCTGTTTTACAGTTTATTGTCTGTCACGCTTCATCTCTTTCAGGATGAGTAAAAACAAGTTCACAGAAGATGACGGTATAGACATGAACGACATAGAGATGTTCCTACCTCATCTTCGCTCAGTAAGTTTTTTTATTTTCATTTTGGTTAAAGAAAGCCTGCAGCTAACCCTCAACCTGGTTTTTCACTGGGAAATAGAGATCACCGCCAACATGATGGTGTTTGGTACAGTCAGAGTTTATGTGACTTCTGTTTTTCTCAGTGAGCAGCTTACATGAAGCTCCTGGTAAGGGTCTTTAGCTGTTGGAGGGTGACCCCCGGTGGTGAAAACAGTAAAATGTAACTCTGTGTGAAAATGTGAAAAAGATTTTCAGGTAAATAAACAGTAGGTAAAAAAGCTTTTGTAGCCTATGAGGAAAATACATGGGTTATCTTCTTACGTTGAACACAGATTTCATGTTTTGTCTATTTCTTCAAATGAGACTCACTGTTAACAAACCTTTGGTGACATCTACCGGTGAAATGCTCCAAAGAGCCTCTTGGTGCATGAATAGTTTGCCTCCCCCTTGTGGCAAAATACATGTATTGCAATCAAAGGCAGAGCCCAAGGTATTTACGCATACGGTAGTTTCTGAGGCAGGTCTTTTGTCTCTCAAAATGTCAGCAGCCGTTTTATTAAATGAAGATTAGCTTTTTGTCTTCATACTGCCTCTAGCATCTCAATCTGTCCCATTAAAAAGGCATTTAGCAAAATGAGATGCATCACTCTGAAACCTCATCATGTTAAACCAATGGGAAATAATCAAAAGGGATGTGAGAGGGAGCAACTGCCTCTTTTTTATGTTGTGGACTAATATTTCATTCAGGTTTTTTGTACAGATGAGCGTTAAATCTATTTGGCAGAAAGTAGATATTTGCTGTTGAACTGAAAGTGTTCCCGTGTCCTCTTTTTGAGCCTTCAAATCATCAAATATCAAATATTAATGTGAAACATTTTAAAGTCACAATCAGGACACAAAGTCCAAAAAACAAGGAGGCTGGAATAAGACGAATGTGATAAGCCTTTTATGTGGGTGATTAATAATTCTGTATAATTTGATATATGTTCTTTCTGATCATGAACCAAACTCTGAAAGGTGGACATGACAAAACGCTTCCTGATTTTATCTTACAGTATTTACTGATGCAATGCGTAAGGCATGAACAGAGTGAATTCATTTTGCAGCTGTGGAAAGCACAGCAGGGTACAAGAAATTAAGCATTGTGTTTCTAAGTTGAGTTGTGATTTATAGAGGTGACAGAGTTCACTTCAGGTTACTCGTGTCACCGTGGTGTCTTCCTGCCCAGCGTCCTGAGCCAAAACGCCTTCCCTCTTTCATAGTGTTCGAGCTCCAGTGTCTTCCTCTTTCCTTCCCCTCGTGGCCTTTGAGCTGAGCTGTGCGTTCCCTTTCATGGCATCTCAGCCAAGATGGGTCTGGTTGACCCACCAGGGTGACTCTCTCATTGTATACCGCATGATCAGAAATTGTTGTTTCCTTTGATTCATTAGCTTAAGGTAGATGGGGTCAGCTATGTTTGTCTCACGTGCTTGGGGTCAGATATTTGTTGAATTTGGGGCACCAGTATCAGGGCACTTTTTCAAAGGAAGCCTCCATCTCGACCAACAGCTACAGTCAGATACCAGTCTCATTGATACCAAAATAGTGTTCCACATTTGTCCAGCTATAGCACAAAGGCAGATCGACAGACTTTTTTTTAAAGATGTCATCTCGATCCGCTGTACAGGACGGAGAGGGGGGGGCTACATCACCCAGAATCCACGTCGGCGTTTGACACTTCGTACTAACATTAACTTCCTCTGTCCAGAAGCCGGAATAGACGTCCCAATAGCTTTCGGATGTGGAAAACAACCCATTAATGTGTGTGGGTGTGTAAACGGCTCTGTGAGAACAGGCTTCCTCCTTTTGCCTTCAGATACAGCTACACCTCTCGTGGCCTCTCTGGAATGTCAACCTGCACACAATAACCCAGCTTTCACGTCCAATGTCATGTTGTAACGACAGAGGCATCCAGGGGTCAGAGAGCAAGAATGTGATCTGTGGATCTATGCCACGTATCACATGGATGCTGGGAAAAATGAAGCACCATATATATATATATATATATATATATATATATATATAGATATGTGTGAATTATATATTAATTCTATATACATTTAAAAAAATATATCTTTTATTTTAAAATAATAATAATCTGTTATAGGAACTACTTGTAACTGCAGAATTTCCTATTTTGGTAGGTTTTTCCATGCAAATTAATTTATTTTCTACATTGGTCTGTCATATTTGTTAAATTTGAGGTGACAAACTCATGATCTCAACATGCAAAGTTTGATCCAGAAGTTTGGCATTTTCAGAGCTAAGATCATAGAAATGCTGGCCACCAAACCAGAGGAAATTGTTCATTGTAAATCAGGTTAAAAAGGCTGTAAATTATCCCATTGTTCGTGATCTTTTAAAGAATTTATCAGCTGTCTCAAATGTTATCTTAACAGTTCTAGAGTACTGAGTTCATTATTGTCATCTGGATTTTTTTCCCCCGAAACCCACACATTTTTAGATCTCTCCCACATCTCTTTGTTCCGGACTCCCACTGTGGCACCGACGCTTCTTACCACACACTCGTCACTGGGCTCATCTCATCAACATGATCCTCTGTGTTGTCAGATAAACAACTCGTGCTTGTTGGTGCATTTATGTGGGCGTTCTCAACACTTACAGTACCTGAAATCATGCCAGCAAATATTTGCTTATCCACACATCATCAGCTTTTTGTGAGTGTGTGCTGCATTTTCTTTTTATTAGCAAACACATAAAATGTGTTTTAACATGAAATGGTGTAAAAAATGTGCCTGAAGGACATTGCATGTCAGGAAGCCACAGGGTAATGGTGCATGTATATTACTATTATACTCTCACTCACTTGTCATCGTGACACATGAAGACAGACTGCATATTAAAAAAACACAAATTTTTAGGAAACTGTAACATTTGTAAGGGTTGAACAAAGGTGGGTCATCTGGATAATAGTTGGATGGTTGGTTTGTTATTTGGGAACATTAGGTGAGCTTTTTTTAAACTGTTTTAGCTCTTAGCTGATATATGGGTGAGGTCATTGTATTAACTAGTGGCATATTTGAGGGCCCAAGTTTTAACACTTAGCTAAGACTGCAAAAATCCAGATGTGTCATGAAACATGTAGGGCACCAGAGAAGGAACCGCTGACCAGAGTGAGACCAAGGAGAGAGAGGGTGAAAGTGACTGGTCACTGCGGAGACATCCGGTCTGTGCTCTGTGAACAAAGCCCCGCTAAAGGAGAACAAAGCAGGAGTCTGGAGCAGAGAAACTGCAGACTGGTTGGCCCCTGTGTCTGGAAGCGTACGTGCCGTGGAGCAGGGCTCTGGCTGCGTAGGGCCGCTTGGGGCGGGGTGGGATTTTCTGGTGGTCTGTCAGCTGTCAGTTTATTTGAGAGCTGCATCGCACTCCCAGTAATTCATTCATATTTACTGTCCCTGTTTGTTCCGGATCACTGGAAGCTGTCTCCTTCATATCATCTGTCCTATCTCATACCTCGTCTTGCTTTACTTCTTCCTATTTGCTGTTTCCTCTGTCCTACTCTTAAGGACTAACTGTCTCTAACTCTAACTGTCCTCATCATCATTCCTCCTCCATTTTCTCCTTCTGCTGTTCCTCACTCCCCCCGTCCATCCTTCAACTGTCGGTAGGCAGCTGAACAATATCCAGGGGGTCATAGTGACCGGCAGCCCCCTCCCTGTGGTCACTTCCTGCTATTGTCTCTACGTCTGCTGCTTATTGGCTTCTACAGTTTATCAACCACTCACATGCTGACTCAATCACCAGTGTGCACTGTGGTGCTCTGGGATCTGAGCATGAGGGGAACACTGGAGACCTGAGCACATGCATGAAAGCAGGATACCTTTGGGAAAAGTGTGACCTGTTTTACACATTAAATCATTTGTTTCCAACGTGTTTAAATTTGAATGGCCTTGGAATATATAAATATGTAAGCAAATGATGTAATGAATTAACTCCCCTTCCATGAAAATTAAGTAAAAGAGAAGCGACTTCATTTGGAAATCGTTTTAATGCACCGGTTCTCCTCCTGATCCTCTTTCCAACTGTGTACTATCAGAAATGGAGACATTTTGAATTTCTTAAATGCATTTCCTTTTTTCCCCCAAATCCCTCCAGTATAGCGTTTGCTCTCTTTCATGATCTCTGTAACTTAAGTCTGCAGCTGGTGTCCTACAACTCCAGACAGAAGAGATTTAGAGCTGGCACTGTCGGGTTACGTGGGTGATCTGTGATAAGAGACAAAGATGTGAGGTCCCGACATCTACGTCTCATTTAATAAGCAATCTGAGGACAGGGCCACAGGCTGATAGACAGGAACATCAAAGAACTCGTGGCCTGGCAGCAGGAGATGGAGCCATCGTGGGATCAAAGTGTCAGAGGGCGGAAAAAAGAGGAAAAAACCCGTTGTGCTCCGTAGAAAAGCGAGCACTGCTGCAGCAGCAGGTTCCAAATGCACAGAGCTCTGTTGTTGTCATCTGTGTGAGTGATGAACAAAAGCTTCAATTGTATTTCTTTTCCTTGCCGGTTGCTTTGTGTCAGTCTGGTTTGTGTTATATTTGCAAATGCAAACTATTCAAGGCTGAAGAAGGTACAGCTTTAATGTATCATTTTTTTAAAGCTATGGTAAGACACATACCTGTGTCTAATGAATTATGCATTTAATCTCTGTCACACATTCCAAAGTAGAGAATAAAGCTAAATCCAATCTCTTTGTAGACACATACAGGAGCCTTATTTCTCCTGGCTTGGCATCAGAGGATGTGTTTCTGCTCCCTATCTGTGTTTTATGTGCTCGCTATCTTGCGTTGACTGTCTCTTTTGTTGTCAGTCTTGCATTCTCCTTTGCTCTCAGCAACCTGTCCAGTAATGCCACCCCTGGGGCAGGTTTGAATTTATTGCTTTTGGCTGACGGCCCCTGGAACATAAATAAGCTCAGAGAAACAATGGACTGGCTAGCTGAGCATCATACCAAAACTGTTACACACTAGAAATGGCAGGAAAGCATGCACTTCACTTTCTGGGCAATTGCAGAGAAAGTTCTGTAATTATTATTCTGTTTTTTATTCTTCCCATTTCTATCCTTGCTAGCTTTTCTCATTTCCTGTCTTTCCTGCCCTGCTACTTCTACCTGTGCCACACTGAAGCAGTGTAATTGTTCTAAATGGATCAACAACCGGATCTGAGCCAGGTCGACAACCTTTACAGCAAATCATTAGAAGAATAGAAATCTTTTCAGCTGTGATAACTTGTCGGGTCCCTTCTTTAAAAGCTACATCTCTCTTGAGCTCCATGTTTGTCAGGAGCTACGTGGCTACGTGCTGTTGATTGAAATAGGACAAATCCCCTTTGTTAGCCTCTCCCAGTAACCTGTGATTTTTTTTTCATCCCCCTTGGAATGCTACATGGTATGTCAACTTCCTCTCAAGGTGCACACCCAAGTGTTTTATACAATACAAACAAAGACACAGCTCAGTTTATGTTTCGTCGTTTATTTATTTTTTCCTTCTTGGTTAAGTTATAGGCAGGTGACAAATCACCTGATAACCAAGACTTCTTGTCTGAGACTCCAGAACTTTTAGTCCCATCATATATCTGCTCTTAATGTCCTCCAAATACTGTCCCTCCCACTGCCCATAGTCCAACATTTTACTAAAGTCCAACTATCATGAAACCATTCCTGACGAGAGCCCCTCCACAATAAATTAAGCAGCTCCAACAAAGTCTGTCAAAAGGACTTTTCTTTGAATAACTAATTTTCTCAAGACAGTTTGTTTAATTTGAAAGCAGTGACAATGTATCCCTCAAAGCTTTGTATCTAAGGTTAAATTAAACTGCAGCCTTCTTGTTCGTCGATGACTAAAATTTACACAAAGTTCCGTTAGATGACTTTGCAGTGTTAGCCCCAGGTTTCCTGTGTTCACCTTGTGATTTTTAAGATAGAGGACAAACTGAGCATTGTGTCTTTCTAGCTTTATAGAATAAAAGTGCGATTCTTGCGTAGTACTTAACAGTCTGAAGGATGCTTATGAATATGTTACTCAGCCCGCTGATGCAGCCATTTAGATCCAACAGAGCTCTGTTTTTTTGCCAGCCTTATCTTTTGCAGAATACTACAAACTGCTGTTTGTGCAAAATCTAACCATCTCACATCCTTTTATAGTCCTCACGTCTGGAATCTCCATTTGCCCTATAAAGACAAACGTAAATGAAAGTCCACCAACAAAGTAGCTTTCCTTTCGATCAGCTTGCGGCCACTCTCCCTCACACACGTCCACCCCCCCGCTGCCACACCCTCCACCATAGCTGTAGGTCCACATCGCTCGCACTGCTTCTGAGGAGGTGAGAGGTCCCCTGGCTGGGCACCAGGACTGCTCATGGGCCTCTTTTATCTACCCAGAACTGCCTGCTACCTGTGGATAGCATAGTCACATACACACAGTGCTCTCCCCCTTTTCATATCTCAGTTCCTCCCTCTTATGTTTTTACCCCCTAAACTGACGAACACACCAGAATTTTTAGAAAAGAAAGAAGCAATTTTACACCCAAAACTTATCACTTATGTGATAGAAAAAATCTTAAAGTTTAAGTTTGTTTCTAGCAATTTGTGGGGTGCATCATTTATATGTGTGTACTCACTGTCATCTGGTACCATTTAAAGGCTGAATTACTGCTAATGATATCCATGAGCAAATGTACAGAGGCTAAGCACTTTTTCAGACTGTCCTCTTTTCTCCATGCCGATTTAATCCTTTCTCTCTCTGACTGTTGAAGGTCTAAAGAATTAAAATCAATTAAACTCAAACTTGACAGAATGCATTTACCGCTACATGTGATCCACATGTGAGAAGCAGCGTTCACACACACTTTTACACTATCTGCATCTCACGTCTGGATCTGAATCCAGCCATCCCCCACCAACCTGAGAGAAGTAGGTTTGAACATCAGTGTCAAATATCAAGCCTTTTGGTTCTATGGTTGTGTTTGTAGAAAAAAGAAAATTCTACTTTCTGAAAACAAACGCATTCATTCTTCAGATGTAAGTAGAATGGTCTGTATGATGTCCCTGGGATTATGTAAAATGTTACCTGAAAGTATGATGGCACCACATTTAGGACAAAAAAAAGATTTAGTTTAAGGCCACAGTAAAAACAAGTACTTGCATCTGCAACGGATGTAACTTTTATACAAATAGAAAACAAAGGTGCAAATGAAAGTGCTGTAAATGCTGCAACCATCTAGAGAGCACTGTAATTTTCATATCTTTTGTAATTCTTTCATGGAAATGGGAAAGAAAGGAACGGAGCGATACGCTGTTGTGCAAACAAGGCACTGGGCTGCGTGTCCAGACTGCGGTCAGCCTCTCACACAGTTTTTTAGGCTGACAGTAAAGCATTTTGAACGTTGCTGCTTTTGTTTGCACCGGCCTGGAACTTTCTGTTAAGAGCACGTACATCCATCCTGATAAATAGCTCATATTAACAGCAACTGGCTTCCACTATTATTGAGGCAGTTTGACACTCAATGCATTGTGAAACGTCACTGTGTGCACAGCTGTTCATTTATGCACTCATCCTATTCACTACGCCGACCATCACTGCAAACCGCGTGTTTACTCAACTGAGCTGGTCCTTGGCCTCTCGTAGCCATGGTAACAGCACACAGTTATGATGAGCGAAGGGAGAGTGCGCCATTTGATGGACAGGGCTGATGTTTAATGGATGACAGATTTCTAACTTCCTTTCACAGGAGGTGAACTGTATAAGTGAGGGTCAATATCCAACAGGCTGCATTTGTTCGTAAATACAAATGCTGCTGGCACCCGTGGGCAGACATGTCAAATGTAGTCAAATAAAAACAGTCTGCTGTTCATTTACATGAAAAAGAAATTGTAACGTTTCTGCTTTGTTGATGGTTTGATGAAATGTACTTTCGGTCCCTGAAATTATGTCCATAGCCAATCTGTCAAATGGGAAGGAGGGAACTGGCCAGCTTTTAAATCTTGATAAATAAGAGAGAAATTTTGCTGGAATGAGTTTTGGACAAGTTAAACAAAACAGACAAAATGGAAGGTTTCTCACAACTGGGTCAGATTTTCAGCTCTGCTCTCCCGCCTCTCATCCAGTGTAAATTTGGAGCTTTATCGTGAGCAGCTCACACTGTCCCAAGACTTGTTGCCTGTGGTTGCTTGTAGCAAGCAGCAACATTCTGCTTGAGTGTCTGACCACTGGCAGATATCATACCTCTGCAGAGCACTGGTCAGCTGCTACCAGCTTTGGTCAGTCGTAGACTGGAACATGGCTTGAAGCGGCCTTGTCAAGTCAAAAGACACTACAGAACTTTGAGCAGCATTGAATAAATAATGTGATGTGTTACCACATTTCTGACCCTCAATACATCGATTTTTATCTTGTCGGTGTCAGAAGGTCCGCAGAAAAACAGCGCCTGTTTTTTAATGGTGCATGCTGTATATCATTGCGAATGTATGTAGATGTCTGATTAAAAGATGTAGGTGACCTGTGTCTTGGCAATATACCAGTGAAATACATTAAAAAAGATTCCTTTCAGGTTGCTTTTTAAGACCAGTGTGAGATGGATTACGGAAAGTCTTGATGTGGTGTTAGATGTTATCTATTCATTTATTTACTTTTCGTTTTGAGCCATGATTCACATGAAAAATACAGCCCTCACTGGTTTTTCCAGCGCATTGCTCCTGCATTCACATAAGAAGGGGCCCACCAGGGCTCCTGGCTTATTGCTTTCTACTCACACTCACATCATTCAGAGCCTTGCATTTTACAGATGAAATAATTACCATTGTGGGACTCTACACCTGTGAGCGATGATGCAAAGTTGCAATGATTTTTACGTGTCCAGGGCTGAATTTACAGCTCATTACCGAGTAAATTACAGAGCAGTGGGGTCCAGGGAGTGATTCTTAACACACCTGTCAGTGCACATCTGTCAAGTAATCCGTGTCAGGAGTTTTCAGCGAAAGTTTAGTTCGAGCATTGCCAGGGGAATACTTATGGTGATGGTGCAATCATCATTTGGAAACGAGCACGATATCCGATACGTTTTAGCTGTGGATATGTGATTATCCAGTCATTTAATCAAACGTCTTTGGGGACACCTCCAGTTTTGGTTGTAAACATGTCATAATTTGCATGCGCCTTCACACCGGGGTATAAAAACAGCTCATTAAGGAAGAAGGGGGGGGGGGGAAGTATGTTCCAATGTATATCTGCACATCTCCACTGAGGTGCAAATCTCCTGTCCTGACAGCAGCCGTCTCTCACACTGTTATTGTCTCTCCCAGGTCTTCCCGCCCCTTCCTAACGAGGCTGAGATCGCACACACCAAAAAGCTCTTCCGACGCAGGAGGAATGACCGACGGTAATGATGCGTCTTAGCACCGCATGCACACACACACACACAACACAGAGACTTACATCAGATAGAGGGAATGTGTGTGTTTTTTTTTCCTTTATAAAGTGTGTGCGTGCGTGTGTTTTGTCAGTGCATATCCAGGGCCATAGCCTTAACATCTCTCCCACAGCCAAAGCAATGTCAAGACAAGAATGCAGGCTCCACACTTTACTGCAGACAGGAAAAGAAAAATGGCACAGAGACATTGAAGAGTTTTTTTTCTTGTTTTTTTTCAAACTGAATAGGTCACTCAACAAAGTCTCTACTAGTCACTTTTGTTAGCCGCGCAGTATTCAGTCCAACATTTCCTTACATGATGGATTTACTCTTCCTCCGTTGTAAGATTTTGCTACTTTTCCTGAACCAAAGGTCAAAACTTTTATATTTTAACTGGCAAAAAGTGTGACTTAACCGTAACTTTGCTCTAAAGAGAATAGGAAAGGGGAGGGGGGGTTCTCTCTCTCCCTCTCTGCCCTGATGTCACTGGAAAACCGTTCTTCAGTTGCTAAGAGACAGGCTTAGACAAAATATTTTGGTTGTATTTGTGGTTTAAAAGAGGAAGTTGTATCTTAACCAAATGGACAAAAGCACTTTCGTCCTGGTTTGGAAACTGTTAAGCTGTTGTGTTTATTATCAGTGGGGGCAATGCAGCCCTGGCTGGAAAAAACCCCCCAAAAAACCAAAATAATCTAAATATGAACTTGAAGTGATTTGTTTCGGTTTAACTCTTTTTTTCACTTCAAATAATAAAAAGAACTGCTTCTCACTTTGCTCATGAGCGCACTTTTCTTTTTTCTTTTACCACTATCAAAGTCTAACAGCGTGGCATACCTCTATATGTGGGGCAGGCGCATCTGAATGTACGTGTGTGAAAAAAGTCTTATTCTCCTTCAGTGAGTAGATTTTTTTTCCACACTCGTTACGAAGTGAAACCTGATTGATTGATCTTTAACACCAAATAGGCTGATGGAAACTCTCACAGGCATACTTAGCGAGTCGATGACTTGCCGTGTCTGTTTTGCATGAATTTTCCCTCCACATTCACCAGAGCCTACATTTTTCAGTCTTTTTGAAGAACTGAAAACATCAAACACAGCTTGGCTTCTTAAATACATAATAATCCCACAAAATGTGTTTCGTACCTGCGAAAAACACATTTTGATGGTTCTCATGGTGAAATTCAAACACTCTAATTCCCTCTTATAAACCTTAAACATATTTGCTAAAGTTTTTCCAAAATAGGACTCGGCAAACTACAAAACAGGCAAATTAATGTGTAATAAAGTAATGAATAAAGCAGAATAAAGAAATGGGTAAAAAAGAAAGTAAAGTAAAGTAAGTAAAGCATGAAAATAATAAGTTGTAACATATTTTTATGGAGCTGTTTGCCATATCTGGCCAAATCAGTCACATGGGCGAATTTGTGTTTTACATCCTGGTGACAGAGAAAGGTTTAGTTGATATAGATGAAGATGTAATGAAAATGCAGATATTTATTACAGTTTTGACAGATTAGATGGGACATCGTAAACGTGAGGTGACTCAGCCATTAGAGCTAAGCATTCTGGTCAAAGTAAGAGCATAAGAAGCATTGTATGAATAAAGTGTTGCCAGTTGACACAGCAAAAGAGCTGCCAGAGCTGTCATTAGTCCGTACTGAACTTCATTAAGCTTAACATGCACGTTCATCAAATACATTAACTAGATTTGTTTGTCTATCAAACATGCTGCTGTAATCCTTTTATGTCGAGACTGTCTTGGGTTAATGTTCCTGAACAGAGCATAGCCAGTAGCTCAGAGGCAGTAATGAGAAACCACAGATGTTAAACTTGTGTTATATTTTTTGCTCAGTTGTGTGTGATACCTCAACTCTGCAGGGAGAAGAGAAGAAAAAGGTCAGAGGTAAACTTGCTGGAAAGAAATGATGAAATATGGAAGTGAAGTATTGATCAGTTGACTACACGTTTGAAACATGAGGGTTGTATTGGACAAAGCAGAAGAAAGAGAAACAGAAGCAGACCGTGAGATTGAGTAAAGGAAAAGTGTAGGCTGGCTGTGGCAGGATGGAAAAGAAAGGGGAGGTGGTGCATGTGTTTCTACTTTAGGAGGCACGTCAAGCAGGGCTGAAATTAGTTGTGATTTACTGGAATGTGCTGCTTACTGTATCAAAACAGAAGACGGGCAAAAAAAGGGAGCTCCTTCCTCATACCATTTCATTTATCCCAATTACCGAGAAGCTTTTTAGACTTTATTTTGTCTTGCAAAAACTGCACTTTGTCCACAACATATTTTTTCTATTATTCTGGATTGGAAGGCATTGATTGGACATCCCAGGACCTAAAATCACTGCTCTGAAAGGAGCTGGCGAATGTCAACTTTATGATGCAAATATGGTTTTATTGTGTGAAGGCCTGCATCACACATATATTACAATGGTGACCCCAGGCTGGCTGCAACCACCACGCCACGCCACCATCCAGCCTCTGCCAATAAATGCAAGCTGCATCCATAATAAAGACACACAGCAAATTCCTTTGAGATCAATAATGAAATGATCTCTGGAGCAAAGCAAGCCCTCTCTTTTTTCTTTTTTTCTTTTTTAGTTTCCAGCTCAGATGTTGCACATGTCTGTAATGCAGATTGCACTCTGCCACCACAGTCTTACAGAAAAATATGTAATGTCTTGCAGTTGTAGTTTTCTGACTTTGCTTTTGGGAACAGAAATGAGACAAAGCCACAAATGCGCCAGGTTTTCTTTTCAAAATCCTGGTCGGAGTGGGATTTAATGCATATGCACAGGCTGTGTTTTCCACTCTGTCATAGCTGAAGAAAATACACCCGAGGCTGCATCTTTGCATATTGATGCTTGCCTCCACCACTTGTTAGACATGTGAATTAAGTGTGTCACATTGGCAATGTTCTTGACAGTACAGTCATTCCACACATCTGTAGCCTCAGTATTTTATCATTTATTCCTATTTTGCCAAGGTGTAGCTCAGCTCATGTGATTTCATAAGTTGCACACATAGTTGCCATGAAATCCATTATTCTGTACCTTTTTTATTTTTATCCTTTTGTTAATGATTCATGTCTCATTTGTAGCCTCTTTCAAGGTGTTGGACCACCTAACGCTATTATTCATTCACAGTGATGCCCTCAATAAAACGTCCAATGAGCACTGACCTCTTTTATATCACAATTCACTTCAGATCAGCTGCATCGGGATATTTTAATGATGCTATGGAACATGTGTTATAAGACTATCTGTATGTTTCGAATCCATCACTATCACCCAAGCCTAATTAGTACTGAAACCAGCAGTGGACTCTATTATTTGACATCAGATAGTTGATGTATTAACCCATAGAGTCCATGGTTTGTACAAAAAAATAATAAACAAAGCTGAAAACAAATCTTCCACAAATAAAATAATACAAAATAACTTTTTAGTAAGGTCCCAACTTTCATTGAATATTCACAATCCTTAACTCGTTACAACCAATTGTTCTTCTTCCACTTCCAGTTAATGACTTGGAAATTGCCCCTGCATCATTTTTGACCTCAGACATCAGGTCTGCTTCTTGGTCTGAAGCCTTTTATGCACACTTTTTGAGGAGCTCTGACTTTTTCATTTTGAATCTGAAGATGTAGTCATGCAAATGCTCAGACAGGCAGTCGAAACCCATCTCCCCACAATCCATTAAGTCAGCGTGTTGTGGCCTGTGAAGCTTTTGCTATCTTATTGACTGTCTGGCCAACAGGCTTCTCTTCCCTTGGGTCAATCAATTCTCTCGTCTGGGTCAACCAATGGTTCCATGAATTGCTCACTCATACATAGTAACTGCCATGATTGATCATCTTTATCCTGCATCCTCCCATGATCACGTCTGCCGATACTTTAGTAGCCATTGTAGCATTCTTCTAGACTTCCTGTATGCTGTGCATGTTGTTTTTTATGAAGTTACCAACCTGTAGTTTTTTTTCCCCCCCAATTTGCTTTGCTTTTTTGTCTTTAATCTTTTCTACTTCATGCCATCTTTGCAAATTCTCCTGTTTTTCTACAAATTGTTCTACCACTTCATTCCGATCCTTATCCATTTTCCAACTTCCCACCTTTCCAATCGTCTGCATTGTGGCATACCTTTCTCTCCTGCTTGTAGTGCATTTGATCACCTCACCCAAGACCAGTTAACCATACTTCTGCCCACTGGCCCAGGGGGAAAACGACGAGTCTCAGCCAGGTTAGTGGCAAAATAAGCACAAATGGGACCTGCTTATGTTTTGACCAGCCTTCTGTTATGAAATTAACTAAACATCAGCTGATAATTACCTATTTTTTAAAAAGGTTTTAGATGAAAGTAGAGGAGTTTAAACAGGTGGGATCCTGTCAGGTCAAATCAAACACTAATTTAGAGCTAATGAATACCTTGCAACCACTGAACCAAAGAAAATAGGTCATGTGCGATTTGATTAGATGGTTAATCACACCAGACTGTTTCAGTGTAAGAAGATACTTTGAGTTTAAATGTAATCAGTAACTCATCATCATTTATCCTAAATTCAAACATCTCTGTGGCAGTAATATGACTGATGGATGGTCAACAATCGAGTCGCTGTGGAGCTCACGCTCATTAAATACGATTAGCATTTTATAACACTCACTTTCACTTCTTCACATCACCAGCAGATTAGGAGTATAGATTTTAGAGAGAGCCTTAACTAATAGCAACCATAGATGTCCAATGAATTTACAGATCTCAAATTCTTTAGCTCTGGTTCTCTGAACAGTGTACACCTTAACAAATTTAAAAGCTGTCACTCTGTGCCAATGACACTCATCTTTTGACACGTTTTATTGTTTCTATCGAGCAGCTCTGAATGTATTATCCTTACAGAGGATTTCTTTTTATTGTTTTTGGTGTCCATTATTATTTGCTAAAAATGTCCGGGTCTCTTTTTGTAGAAAGAGTGTTTATGTAGAGCAGCAGGAAGAATGTTCAGTTTAGCCATAATCTCATAAAGTTAACAAAGCTGATAGCCTGGTCATCAATAAACAGTGGGGCTGCTCTTAATGAAATAATTAAGTTGTATTACATGCTGCATTGATTCCCATTAAGTACACAGTTTGAACTCACAGCATGAGCAGTGGCCACTAGCAGTCATAACATATCCAGTTCATTGAATGGCTAATACTTGAACATTGCCCATAATCCATAATATTTATTGATCATGAAGAACGTTGATCAAGTATCCAATCTTTGACCAAATTACTGCGCTGGAACTGATGGAAAACCCCAAACAGCCTGAAGCTTAGGTCCCGGAGGTGAGTAATGGACTCTCTGCAACAAAGGAAAGCACCTAAATTTGCCATGTCATTAGAAACACACAGGTGCTGCTCTGATTGGGGAAGGGCAGTTATGAACTGATGAACGCAGGCAGTTCAGGGAAGGGAAGTCAGAAGATGAACTATCTCCCAACCTCCCCAAGAGAGTAGAGCAGAGGGGACAGACAAGAGGTGAACCGCATGAAGACATAAAAGACAATATTTACGACTGGATGCTTCTTCCTCTCTCACAGAGTTCAGTCGTGCACATACCGTCACATATCCAGACGACTCCCAGCTTAGAAAGAACACCTTGCATCTGAATTTAGAGCGGTGCCCTGTTGTGAAATCACCCATTAACAAACTTGGTTGTGCACTTGAAATTTTCATGTCCAATTCTGAAGGGAAATCATCACAAAATACATTTCCTTTGTAAATACAGGCCCAGCCAGAGGAGGTGCACACTCCATGAAATTCATTCAAATGTTGCAATTCCAAAAAAAGGCCAGCTGGCCATCTGTGTTATTAATGAGAGTATGTCCTTGGGCCTCATCATAACACTAAATACAAAGTGTTATGCTGATCCGATTCCCTTGTTCCGTCCCCATTGGAGCCAGAACCAGAAAAATCTCTGTCCTAAGAATGTCATGTTTGATAAAGTCAAAAACAAAACGGTCAGATTATTAAAACCTTATCTTAAAACATACATTCCTCTCTTATTTTACCTATAAGCTCTGTGTCTATAGACAGAACAGTTTTTCAAACTAACCCAAGCATCTGCCACCTTCACTGTATCAGGAACTGTCGCCCTAATAATCTGGTCAGATGTCTAGATTTAGAACCAAAACCTTCCTTATTAGGTCATTTGGTAATGATCTGAACATTTTCTTTAGTGTTTATCCCTCAATCCTAATTTGAGAGCAATGTATGAAAGATAAGGTTTACAATTTTGGGTAATCTTTTTGAGATGTCCCCTGATCGAGAACACAGCCTCCCTTTATCAGAGGTAATATCAAACATATCCTGGTCTCTGAAAAGTTCAGTTTACTTGGAGCAAATCTTGGCTTGTTATAAAGTCTGTTTTCTCCTCAAACTTGTTTTACCTTTATTAGGAAATTCTGGAGTATGTAAACTTCTATTGAGTTCACAGAACATTTCCAAGGTTGCTTTTTTTATGCATTTGTGGCTGTGTCAAAGCGCTGCATGGGTATTTCAAAAGTTTTTAATTTAGTTCTACTGCCTCCATGATGTCAGCTCGTCTATTCATTTTTCATGTTTTGGCTGAAGGCCAAGTTGTTGATTCTTTGCACGTTTTGAGGCATGAATGTCTCCTTATTGATAACCTCCAAAAACTTCTCTGAGATCGTTAATCCAGCCGTTCCACAAGGCTCTCACAGGCCAGCGGGGTCACCATTTTGCTTTTCACTGTCTCTTCTTTTTTTGTACTTCTAGAAATGAAATCTTGTGTGCAGTTTTAAAAAACTGTTCTGAATCAGACTTCAAGGAGCTTCAGTAAAGTTTAAACAGCGGCTGTTTTACCACTGTCCTCCTTTAGAATCAGTCAGCACTTGAATGCACCGTTGTGTGGATGCTAATGTTCATTAACATATTTTCAGAATGTGATTGTGTATGCTGTGCACATGTCATTTTATGCCTTTATTGTTTGGTACCCTGCAGTGTATTACAGAACATCAATGTGTTTATAAGTCCCTCTCTCTATGTTAACATGGATCATCAGCACATATATAAGCACAACAGATGGAGTGAGTCAGCATACCATATCGCTTCACAACAGTTACTGTATTTCCTTCCCTTACACTAGTTTTGTTTGTTTCTTTGACATACAGGGGCTCTCAGATATATGGACATCCTTAGTTATTCTGCTTTTGAGCTTTTTGAAGACTAGGCCATCTTTTACTTTTGTCTTGTGTGCCATAGAATTTTTTCCTCCCTTCTTAGTCTCTGGGCAGGTAGACTGAATTGAATTAGGCTCCGTTATATCTGCTTGCTGAAAAATGCTGACTAAGAGATAAGCTCAGCCAGTCTTGATTTGTTTTTGCATTTATAACACGTTACTACGTACTCAGACAGCCGGCTTAAATGATATTTATGCATGAGGCTGAAACATTCCATGAGTCAAATAATGGATGTGTATGGGGTCTGTGTCAGACAAAAATGTATTCAGCTTTATCAAGTTCCAGTTTCCAGGCTGAGGGAAATAACAGGTTGCCTCCTCGGCGCAAGGGCGACTAATCCCTTGCACCATATGTCACGGGGCTCGTCGAGCCCGGAGCCAGTGCAGCAAAACGACACAGCAATGCTGGACAGGAAAACACAGACACACTGTGCGTCCAAATGTAAGCAGACGCTGAGCTTTTGATTTTGTAGCTAGTCGTTCAGGCAGATGGTAGCTGGGTACAGGATGATAATGGCAGTTGCAGATAGGCGGCTGCATATGGCTGTCACATGTCAAAGTAATGTTTGTGGGGCAGCACCGATTAGCCTGTACGCGAGGGGTGAGTAAGAGGCAGACCAGAACAGGTATGAGCCAGCGGCCGCGACATGGCAGTGATGCTAATCGAAACATGCTCTTATTTCAGGAGGCAGCAGCGACCTCAGGGAGGAGGAGGAGGAGGAGGAGGAGGGGGGGGGAAGAACCAGCTTCAGCAGATACAACAGCAGTCACCTCAGCAGCAGAGGGATCAAAACCAACAACAGTCTCCAAACCAACCACAGCAGAGTCCAACAGAACTGGGAGAGAGCAGAAACAATAGCGCTGGTCGGCCGCCTCGCCAGTACCAAGGAGGTCATGGGCAGCGCCCGGGCGGAGCCCCACACCATGGGTACAGCCAGAACCGGCGCTGGCACCACAGCCAGAAAGGCCAGGGACAAGGACAGACTAACACTACAGGTGATAAAGGAGGAGTACCACCAAGAACAACCAAAGAGACTGAGAGCGTGAAAGCCGGTGAGGAGCAGATCAGACCACTCCAGGAGAGCGGCAGCAGGAATCCCAACGAAGTACCAAAACCCGACTCCGCACCCAGCACAAATGCCTTCCCAGAAATGACGGTTTATAAGGAATCTACAAACTCATCACACAGTTGGAAGGCAAGCGACAGTCGGTCCGAGTGGCCCAAGATCAGCCTTCTGCAGTCGTCGAAGGAGAGGCTGAGGCGGAGACTAAAGGACAAGGTACTGTAAATCTGCTTAGTGCCTGTCAGCTTGTATTAGAGTAGCCAGGCTCTACACACACACACACACCACTTTTTGCGAATATCATTGCTTTTATTTTTAATCTTTACGGATCTTACAAACATAAAATCGGACACGTTGTCTCTCACTGCATCCTCGGCCTCTATATTTATAAAGAACTCACTGTGACGTACAGCCACACTGGCAGGTAGGCGAGCAAATGTTCACCCTAAGGATGTAAAGAAACCAAAGCAGCATTAGCCTAACAGTTCTCGATGTTTTCCACTGTCTGCCAAACTGATGAGATGACCAACTGTGTTGGTGCCCTCAGCCTCTTCTTTTTACACTCATTACCACCAGGTGGGGATTGATTTAACAGCAGAGGGCTCCCAGACAGGGAGCAAGACAGGATTTAATAAACATACAGTCAATACCTCCAGCCTCCTGTGTCTTTGTCTGGGTTGTTCCGACCAACATTTGCAATTATTTATATTTTTCTGGTCACTCCCATTTTTATACTTTCTGCAGAACGAAGCCCCGACACTTGAAGATATTATTTTTCAATTCAATCTTACACATTTCAAATTGTATACAACGTGCCTTTCGTTTGGCGATCTGTCTCGTATCTTTATGCCCATATTCCATGTGTCCTGTTAGGAAGAGGCGCGTGTGGAGCACTCAGGGTCCAGATCACAGAACATGGACCGGCTGGTGGAGCTCCTCAACAGCATGAGGAGCAACAGCAGCGGGGTGGAGCAGCAGCTGGCCTCTTTCATGGAGGAGGCGCAGTGCTCGGCCCAGTGCGAAGAGACGCTGGCTCAGGTGGTCAGCACCATCTACTCCAAGGCCGTGTCAGACAGGAGCTTCGCCGCAACGGCAGCTAAACTTTGTGACAAGATGGCGCTGTTCATGGTGGAAGGAACCAAGTTCAGATCTCTGCTTCTCAACATGCTTCAGGTGAGAGCATCCCACTGTGTGGCGGCTTCACAATTTAACCTCAAGCTTTTTCCTGTCCTCTTTCATGTTTTTTTTAAACAAAGTTATCAACAGAAGAGTCTCATTAATGTCATTACCCGACTGAAACCAAGTCTGTATTTTTTTGTTTTGAAGGTAACTTTAACACACAAAACACAGTCACACAAACGAGCTTCTTTCCAAACACATCCTGGTATTTCTTGTTATTTTTGTGTTAAAGCGCTGCAGGAGACTTGATGAAGAAACGTTCAAGAAACTGCCCCGATGATAATAATAAGCTCAAAGAGCAACTGTTCTGTTGTTAAAAATTAAATCCTTGCCCCTGATTTTTCCATTCCAGTGTGAAAAATCTCGGGGGATCTTGTTAGTTACAGTTTTTGGAGAAAAAAAAAAGCAGTGCTGTCTTGTGTGAAAACTTCAGTGCTCCTGGATATTTGAATCTGTGTCACATTCTTATGCTTTGTGGCCAAAACAGTTTTTTTTCTTGTTCCAGAATCCATTTTTCTGGCGTAATTAGATATGGCAGACAGATGTGAATTGAGCACATCAGCAAACTGTTCAGCAACCATTTTGATCTGATAATGATAAAGATCTGGGATTTGAGCCCTTTATTTCACATAGCTGATTTTGATAAAGTTAAAATTATTTGGAAAACTGCTATTCCTTAGAATAAAATAAAAAAATCCCCATAACGTCAAAATCAGAAATGAGTTTTATGTAAAAACACCTCCAATTGGTAACCGTCTGAATGGAAGATATAGTTGTCGGTGGGCAGAGTAGCTATTATAAACCCCCTGGGGGCAGGAAGGCCCGCTCCCCCTTCCTCTTCCATCCCTTCACTTAGTTGCAAAGTTCCAGTCTCGCACCCTCGATGAAAACATCCTCTCAGTCGTCGCACATTACGCCGCCGCTCCCCCCTTTCCTCTCCCTCTTTTTGTCCCTCTCGAGCTATCAATTCCCATGCTCCCACCTCTTATCACCTCCTCTCACCCTGAACAACACGGCCCAGTGCCCTGTGACGTCTCCCTGCACAGTTCCCCGCTCCGCCCATTGCTCCATCCCGAGAGCCCGATAATTTCACCAGAGAGGCAGATAGTCCAGACGACTGGCAAACAAAGACACGTCTTGTGATCAGATGGCAATCAGTGTCTAAATGTTAACCCACCTGCAGTCTGGCCATGTTAATCATTTCCCCTGCCTTCTCTCCCTCTCCTGTTTCCTTCCACTACGGATGCTCTCTTCTGACAGACTCCCACGTTTTGTCTTTTTTTTCTACTTCATGTTTTTCTATTTAAAATATCTTATTCTTTAGATGTTGAGGTTTTCATCCCACTCCCAGCACCAGCGAGTCCTTGCCTTGATCCTTTCACCCCCTTTTCCACTTTTTTAGTCCCCTCTGTCTCAGCTGTGTGGTCCCTTCTCCCCTTTTATTTCTCTCTTTAATCTCCTCTTCCCAGCCAGCACGGACCCCCTCCTTGTCTTTGACATTTTGGCTTTTTTTCTGTTGCTATAAACCATTCTAAATGTCATAAGTGGGCTCATGAAGGCCTTCATTAATGTTGTTGTTCCAGACCCTGGATCTCAATATGGGAGCAATTAGTGTGTGACTGCTCCGCTTATTAAAAGAGTGGGATAAAGGTTTGTTTGCTTAGACGTGGCCACTGTTTCACCTTTCAAAGACAGTCTTAATTTAACACAGCTGAGACGAGGCTTGTGGGGCTATTTCACTAATCTTGCTGATACTTTCCTTTTCGTATTCTGATGGTTCCTTGGGCGAAAAATGAGTTATCTTGTAGGCTCATGCAAAACCTTCTGTGAGTAAGTTGCTCATGTTTCCAGAGCCCTTCAGTACAGTTGGGGGAAAAAAAGATGAGAAGCAGCTGCTTAGAGTGTTAATAAAGTTTTTGTTTAACCTGCAGAATAACATCTTTACAAGAACGCATTAAGCATTAACCCATATTAACCCCAACACTTTCCCAGCACAGGCACAGTTCACTGCCCCTCACTTTCAAACTAAATCAACACACTCCCCTGTGCTGCTGGCAGATAAAAGACATGCGTTTAATGTGGTTTTTCGCTGCTTTTTTAGCTTGAAGTAGCTTAATGCCTAAGGTTAATATGTGTGCCACCTACCAAAACCCTCATCAGAGAGATCGCAAAGATGTTAACGCTGGTTAATGGTCCTGTCAGGAGACAGTTTCTGCTTTTGAATATGCGAACACTTATACATCCACCTACCCGCCGCCTGCTTGTGTAACACATTTATAGAAGCTGGATGTGCTGTGGTGTTTGTCTATTTCTCACATTAAATATACTTCTCCCCACCACAGAGGGACTTTTCCCGCCGTGAGGAGCTCCAGCAGTCTGATGTGGAGCGGTGGTTGGGTTTCATCACCTTCCTGTGCGAAGTATTTGGCACCATGAGGAGCAGCTCTGGCGAGCCATTCCGGGTGCTGGTGTGTCCCATCTACACTTGTCTTCGAGAGGTGGGTTTCCAAGGTCTAACTTTTTTAGTTGTATTTTGTTTTTTTTGTTGTTGTTTTTTCCTCTATGAACAAAAAGTTTGTTGATCATCAGAGACTTAACCCCTTCCAGTTGTTCTGCAACATTTTGGTTCCTGTTTTTGACTAGACACAGTCTAGACTGCACACACCACACTGGAGTTTGGTTAGTAGTGCAAACAGTCAGGACAGCTATCGGTTCCAGGAAAACGCGTGACCTCAGGTTCAGTTCTCATTAGCTGGTCATACTCGTGTGCACACTGTCCCCTGATTACCATGGAAACCATATATAACCACGGCGGACACACCGCGATACAGAAGTGGTTACCAACAGATGGAATATTGAAAGGGGAAGCAAGTGGGCGGGAGGACGGAGGTGAGAGGAAGTGCAGGAGACTGTGGCCCGATTGACAGTTAGTGCAAAGGAAGTTAACTCAAGACAGGACAGGTAGAAGAGAAAGGAGACAGGATCAACAGACTTTAAGTAGTTTTGAATACGCCGTTTGACTGAGAGGAAGAAATAAAGGCTGGTGTTGAGGCACATTTCCGTTCGAACAGCCGGGTCCACACCTTATCCAGTCTGGCACTTAACACTCAGCCCATGTCTCGTTAACAAGCACAACAATGACACATGGCTTATACCATCCACACCCTGTCTGAGGGTATGCCCCGGGCATTATCTCAGCTTGTTAAAGGCTCCAAAGCATGACCATGGGTGTGGAGAAACCAGTTAAAAACACACACACAAATACTTTCCAGCATCTGCACTGTTGCATCTAGTTCATTGATGCTTGAGGTAAAAGCACACCTGTGTACAAAGTCAGGATATTTGCATTCACTCTCTGTGTATTTCCCAGGAATCAGACTGCTGCACGCCTCCAGTTAAATGTGGCTGTTAGAATCTAGCTACAAGGCATGTCACTTTGCAGCAACTGTTTTATTGGTAGACTGCAGAGCAGGATGACGTAAAACTGAGGTGTGTTAGGCCCAGTCTCCACGTGTTTTTGGCCAGTGCTTTTTCACCTTTATCTCAATGTAGACACTGCACACACAGGTCATCAGACCGCATTTGCATCAGTAAACTTTAGAAAAATTCAAAAATACTGCACTGTCCCTCCTTTCAAAGCAAATTATCTTATTAGAAAATAGTTGAACCAGTCACTCGAAAAGCTGAGAAGTTAAAAGTTACAGATTGATAGATGTATCTGTTAAATTAGTGTTTAATATCTATTACGCTGTTGCTGATTTTTACTAAACTATTGCTGATTTTTTAACTGTAAAAAAAAGAGGGACCTGGATAAGGTCATACAATATAAGGTTCAGACAGAGGAAACTACCCACACTCAGACCAAATTGAGTCAGCAAAGGGTAGTGGCAGATGAGCTTTAATTTGATTTGCTCAGTGGTAAACCTACAGCCTTTAAAAACTGACTAAAATACAAAAAACATTTACAGCCGTGTATAAGAAAATTAATTCACTTTGCAGACTGAATCTGCAACTAAATCACTCATACAAATCTGCTTCATCGAAGGATGTTTCAGCTTAATGAGAATTCCGAACCGTTCTTCTTTTTCCGAACCGTGCATGCAGGCTGTTGTTACATAATTTCTGAAAAAGCATTTGCCGATGATGGAGAACTTCAGATCCAGCGTTCCTGCCCGGGCTAGAAGTCCTGAGGAGTCAAAGGGCAGCTGGAAAGCAACTTAACAGATAACACCCTCTTTATCGAGCAAATGACTCACATGTGGCCCTCCGAAGCCGTCGTCAGGATATTAGCTTGCAGTTGCACACTGCAGAGAAGCATGTGCGTCCACTGTGCCTCGCTGTGACATCAGGAGTTATTTATGTGGCGCTTCAGTATCCCTCTTTAAAATGTCTGCATGGGCCCTCACGGTCAAATATACAGTGTTTGAGAATTTGTTGTCTGCAAAGACTTTTTGTCGATAGGTCCTGAATTTAGATTCGCTGTTGCTATGCAACAACCAGAAACTTGGTTGAAACAAGTTGAATTGAAACTTTGAGGGCTATTTTAGTGTTCTGACTTTTTGTTTCTTTTTTTTGTCTTTTTTTCAAGTGTGAAATAAATTGATTTAAATTAGTCATAAGCACTTCTGTTCTTTAGTGAAAATCAAAGGCTTGAGCCACAGCAAAAGGATAGACATATTGAATGACACATTTCTCTTAAATCAACTAATAAGGGTGTTAGTGTACTCCTTCCTATTGGTGTAGTGAGAACAGAGATTGTGCTCTTTTTTTTTTTTACAGGCGCTTTGTATGTTAAATATCTTATGGATAAAAAACTTTTTGGGGAATCAGTCCTGAGATTTACAAGTGCATAGATTTGGATCTCCAAGATATAAGACCCAGATATCTTATCATCATCAATCTCATCTAGAGAGGTTACAGGTTAAGCATAAATCATAAAAAAAAAATTTCTGCAAACATTTTTGTTTCCATTGTAAAAAAAAAAATCGTTACGTGAAGCAACTGATATACTTATGTGTAAAATTAAAGAGCAAGGTGTTTCCATAAGTACAGGGGAGTTAGAGTGTAGATTAGGGCATAGTAAAAAATATTGAGCAAAACTTCACCCTCAGCTCCCTGGAAAACTCATTATGAGCTAATCCTGCTCGTCACATAGTTCTTCTCTGGAAAGGACGGGACTTGAGTTCCCACTTCAAACGGCCTCTCTGTCACCACGCCCGTCTCAGCATAGTGAGGAGCTGACGTCTGTCCGAATGCCTGAATGGGAGGTGGAATACCAGGAGGCTTACAGCGTGGAAATTAGAGCCCAGCTCATATTAAGCGTTGGTCAAATGTCCATTATTCTTGTTTCATTCTTACAGCTGAAAATGCTGATTATTTATGGGACCGTTTTATTTTTTAATTCTTTCTCTGAAATTTAAAATGCTTTAATTTGTTGGCGTGACGCCAACAGAAATGTGGGCTGTGGCGTACTGGAAACACACAAACACTTTTACTCATTTTATTTTGGTGGGAATTTGTGAGACTTTCCATGACCTTTTAGTGACCTGAGAATGGTCCATTCCCTTAATAACCCCAGAGGCATTTGCTTGTTCAGATATTTGTACATGGTTTCAAAGCAACTTCCCCAAACATTCTCTGCAACACATTGATTTCCTGTGGAGTCACTTAGTTCCTTATTGTAATACCTCTTTTCTGATTTCAAACTTTCTTTTTTCTCATTTTCAAAATGATCATGCCTGTAACTTCCTTCTGTCTTTCTGCTCCAATCAAAGCAGCTTTTTGTCAACAGACTTGTGAAGAATAAGGGGTTAGAAAAAGTACTGAACAGAAAATCATTTTAATTTGATTTTAGATGATCATGATTCCTATTTTTCTTTGTGATAATTTTAGATTAATTGCGAGTGGTTTTGATTTTCTTTTTTTTTTCAAGGTTTTAAAATCGAACCGTCACCGTTTTTCTCAACATTGTCTGAAAGCGTCCGCCGTACGTCCATCTGTACTCGGGGCCGCTCTGTGGGGGGAAGCCAGCCAGCATGTTTACCAGCTCCACTGTTTGTCTTTGGCTGCACTGTGTTTACAGTGTGTCTGTGCATTTATGTGTGTGTGTACAAAGCAAGCCTTGATGTCTGATGTTTGCTGGTCCGTCAGGCTAAAAGGCTCATCTTAAATCCGGGATTTGAAACGTTAATGTAGAAAATATTTACAATAGGGATTAGGTCTTCTTTCCCCTCTCTTGTGAGGCGATGAACTGAAATTAGCCTGATCTTCCTCTTTGGTTTAAATCCTAATATACACATCGTGTATTTACACTGTACAGCATGTAGTCCTTTCTCCTGTTTTACTTTATTTGGTATAACCCTGTGCTCAGAGTAGTCCTAAAGTCTCTGTTCTTGTCTTTGTAGCTGCTAGAGTCAACAGATGTTAAGGAAGATGCAGTCCTCTGTTGCTCCATGGAGGTATGGACCACACACACACACACACACACACACACCAAACATAAAAAAAGAGTCAACTCTCGACGAGGAATGCCCTCTCTTTGCAAAAAATGTTCTCTGAAGCCCAGTTGGTCCCCACAAAGATAGAAATGCAAGGATAGACAGAGACACACAAAACTTTTGGTTTCCAGTTAAACCAGCGGAGGGGTTTAAAATTTGTATGTGAGCCAGTTTAGCTGGTAAAAATTGTAATAGAATAAATCCTTTAAACAAAAAAAAGAGTCCCAAAACATGAAAACAACTACCGTGAGGCCAGTTTTATTCAACATGGCAGACTTTCCATCACCATCCTGTACCTAACTTTGCACTCTTCCTATGTTTAACGAGACAAGCAGACTCAAAAATTATATTTACAATGTATTCTTTATGTTTTATTTGACTTGAAACTAAATATTGAAATAGTGCTTCAATGGGCATCTTGCCATATAGAAAATGCAGGAGTTGAAAGTTACTGAAATGTTTCTTTTGAGGGTCAACGTAACGTCTTTGCGTATCAGAATTTAAAAAAGAGAGCTCGGAAAGGCAAACCCTTTCCCAGCTGCTTACTCACAGGCGCTCAATAGCCAGAGGGTGTGTGAATCTCTGCTGTTTGACTGTATCCACAATAACAAGGTGCCAGACTGTGTGTCTCCCTCCCGGAGAGGGACACACAGTTTCTCAGCCTCATTCTCCTCTACCTCCACACCACCCTCCAACGGCCTTTTCTCTCCTCCAGTTGCAGAGCGCGGGGCGTCTCTTAGAGGAGCAGCTCCCTGAGATGATGACGGAGCTGCTCGCCGCTGTCAGGGACAAGATGCTTTGTCCAGCCGAATCGCAGCTGACTCGCTCCCTGCTCATGGAGGTCATTGAACTGCACGCACATCGCTGGAGCCCCCTGGAGGCCCTCACCACCCAATACTACAACCGTACCATCCAAAAACTCACCACCACTGCCTAGTTGAGACAAGCCCCCTTGGTCATTTTAGCTTTTACGGAAAAAAGTAGTTCCGTTTTTTGTTTTATTATTTAGCATTTTGCCTGAATAAATAGGTGATTTATGCAGCATTTGAGCTTGATCATAATTCCTTGCGACAGGGGACCACTGCCACAAAACAAACCGCATACAAAGTAACAAAACAGGCATCTCTGAGCCGTCAGTGGAACACCACGTAAGTGTTATTTCGGCGCTAACAGCCGCACGGCCAGCAGGGGCGTGCTTGGCCACACAGTCTGGGAGCTCCGCCGGCTTTGGCTGCCGAGGGATAAAGGAGGGAACAGAGGAGAGGGGTCACGCAGGGGAGAGGGGGGTGAGGGCAGCAGCCTGTCCACGGGGAATGGAAAGATCTGTGCCCGAAAGATGAATGGAGGAGGGAAGGGGAAGGGGGTCAGGGTGGTCTGTGTCAGTCTCTTCATTGTGCTGATTTGCCAAGCCACCCTCTCCTCTCTGTGTCTCCTCCTCCTCCTCCCCCCCCCTGCCTCCACTGTCTCTCTGCTAGCCCCTGGGGTCTGTGTGGCTGATAAAAGAGAGGTGGAGGAGGAGGAGGAGGAGGCGGCGGCGAGTAGACACGGTGCTGTCTGTCTGGGCCGTCTGCCCCGCCGGGCCAGGGACCAGGTCAAAGGGCCTTGCAGTGGAGCCCCCCCCCCGCTCCTCCCCGCCTTTGTGTCCCTCCCCCCTCCCTCTCCTATGCCACAGCAGGAAGCCCCTTTGAGGGGATGAGACAGCGAGCCTGCTGGGTCTGGCTGGACGGAGGATAAGGATCAGGCTGGCTAGAATAGGGAGGCAGATGGCTGCTTTGAGCCCCTGTGAGGCGACACACTCCTAACACACCCCACTGGCACCCCAGCTCCTCATAGAAACAGTGGAAATATTTTAGTGGTGGAGGAGAGTGGGGGCAGCATTAGAATATAAAAGCAGACATAGCTGTCTGATAATTCTTTTGTTTATGTTTCAGCTGGGGAACGTCTCTGTCCCTCAGCTAAGCAGCGATGTCCATGTTTTTGTTCACCCCGTCATTTTAAGACTGTACATTTTTTAATCATTTGTTTTTATCATTGATTCATTTTGAAGTCTTGTTTTTATGTTATTACAAACATATAATATAGCAGTGGGCCTTATTGCACAGGTGTGATTTATTTTGCACTGTTTTGAGACGATTTGCTGTCAGATTTAAAACTCAAAAGATTTTTTAGAAATTTGATTTGAAGCAGTGCTCGTGGGTTTATTTTAAACCTCTGTAGAGAGAGAGATGGGTTGAGCATAGTGAGGGATTTTAGGATGTTTTAATTGACTAGTGGCCTTGTCAATTATTATGTTGTTTTTGTTTTGTTTTGTTTTTATAGGGGCTCATGTTTCCCAGTCAGCCAAGTCTGTTGCAGCATAAAACATGCTAAGAACATAACGTAATTGTTCTTTCCGAAGGAAAATACATTTAAAAAAGAAAAGAGGAGGAAAACATTGATGCCACAACAGCAAAAGCATGGCACACAGAAAAACAAATTATAAATGCTTGAAAATCTCCCTTTCAAGTCGTTCTTTGCGGTGGATATTTTGCAAGTGTTTAATATGGACTGTATTTTATCATGCTTTGTTTCTGAAATCACTAATAACATGTGTATTTGAAGATATTGCTAAGAGGAAAATCTCATAATTTGACCTCATATTAGCTCATATGATGTGACTCTTGTTTCAGCTGATGTTTGTACTATGATATTGACGTACAAAGCCAATCATTTGCCATGTATAAATGGGCTTTATAAATAACCTGCATACTATATATTAGCTAGTATTTAACAACAGTGATATAGTGGGGGGTTGTGCAACAGGGCTGTTACACATAGGAAAAACTGGTTGGGTAGCTAGAAATGACCCCATCCATACATTTTATCAGGAATAAACTTATTTGCTTGGAGGTAGTCTCAAACATGCACATGTATTCTTACTTTCTCACTGAATCTCAGTGGGCGGTGATTTTGTATTATTTTCTGTGTCTTGCATCAAGAATTAAGATCCTTTGTGGTAGAAGCACACCCCAGAGGATAAGTCAGATGAAATGGGTGATTTAAAGCTCATCATTGTGTTTGCAGAAGCATTTTAATGATCTTCATGTATTTGTCAGAATAAGAGTCAATGTGTTGGATAGTTTTTTTGCTCCTTTTTTTTTTTCTTTGTGTATGTTGTCCTTAATTTAAGTGATACCTGGTTCATTTATAAGTCAATGGTTTTGTCTGCATATAGGTTTTCAAAACATCTTCAAAAGTAGTACCTTGCTTGCTGGCAAGTCTGTGAGTGTGGTATTACCAGGTTTTAGTCCGTGAAATGACAAAAAGCCCATCGATCAGTTTTCTAATATGCAAAGAGCAACCCCCCTCTCACAGCAGACTGGGGCAGGTGGGGATTGCCCCCCCCCCTGTGTGGTACTGGAGCCTCCCCCACCTCGCGCGCCCTTAGACCCTTCAGCTGGGGTCATATGACCCAATGGACAGACTAAATGAGATGCACTTTCATTTGCATATTCTTTTGGGGGAAAGGGGCGGGGGGACTGTAGAGGGAAGCATTCGATTGGCAGCAGTGGATCACCTGTGAGTTCTTGTTTGTTTTGTTTTTCTAAGCAACTGAAAAATAAACTAACGAGCAAAACAAGAAAGTGTTTTTTGTGTCTGTTTGAGCGTGAGCGATGACACACGAAGAGTCGGTGTGGCCTCAAATGTATTCACACATGACAAAAGAAACATGATGATGCTCCCAAAGTTTCTATTACCCCCTTCAGACAGACTGTGTGACTAATTGTGGCACCGCAGTTGGTCATTGTACTCCAAATTCATACACGTTCACACTGGAGGCCCTTCATTTGCATGGCTTCTTCTTAACATAGTGGCACGTTAAGCAGATCGCCTTTCAGAACTGTAGCTCCATATATGATGATGTGTTTTAGCGCTACTGGATGTCCTTGACTACTGATTTGCCTTTGGTGAGTCCTGACACGTGCCTGGGGCTCCATGATTGTGGGCTTCCCAATGGGAGCTCTTAAAGCTGGGGCTGCTTCCCCACTGACACACCCCTCCCTCAAACTAATAGGACTTTATTCGCCACTTGTCCACATCGATCGCCATCATCTTGAATATTTAATTGAAAGTCATAAGCTTTTTTAATTTATCTGCAATATAGCTATGCACCCAGAAGACAAGAACATATATCTTTAATTTATTCTATTCATATTTAAATATGACAACATCCAAACATGAACAATGAGAGAAACGTGTATGCACAAATATAAACACAAACCTGCCATTTTGGGCTTGTTTTGCAGCCGTTGGATCTGGAAAACTTGCAGTTATTAACTCAATAACTGCAGAGTTAGGTGCACTAAATACGTCTCCGCATACCAAAGCATCCCGGAGTCAAATGTTGAAGCTATTTGTCTTACAGGTAAAGCTTGGCTTAAATTATGTCATGTAATGGGATAATGATCCCAAACACAGCAGCAAATCTGAAGGTAATCCAGTTAGCATCCAGGTCCCAGCCTGACTGAAATGAAGCGGTGGGACCTTCAGAGAGCTGTGCATGAACAACAATGTGAGAGATTGTTAAAGTCGCACGGAACACAAGTCAAGTTTTTGCTCTTAAAACTGTAGAGCGCAGTTATATTTTCACACAATGCTCCTGTTATTTGGCTCGATGTTTGTTGAATAAATGATGACGCTGCTGTTGATCTGAACTCGGATTTGCCAGATTCGAAGACCTTGAAGGAAAAGATTTTTCTTGTATTATGTCCCGATACACGGAGTCTCAGAACAGAAACATAGTGGATTTATTTTTCCCCACGACTGCAAACATATCTAAACCCTCAGCTCACATGTGAGTCTGCGAGGGAGTAAATGAAAGTGGTGGAGGAAGACGGAGCTGGCTCGGTTTGATAATTAGCATCACAGCTGATGTGGCTCAGTGCTGTGTGAACAGACAGTCAGGCATGTTAGCCTTAAGGGATCAAGTTGGCCACCATGCTGTTGCAGTCTACACTGCTTAAGATCCTGTAGATCACATTACTGTGAGGTTGTCTTTAGCCTGCAAGCATTGAGGGGCCAAACTGTAAGTGCTATAAAATAAAGCACTGTAAGTGCTATAAAATATGTCAAGAGAAAGGGTTCAACGCCACGTGGATCAATTTTGCCGGCTCAAAAGGTACATTTTTACATAGCTAGATTACAACTAATTGATTGAGATAGTCAAATCAGCAGCATTTGACATTTTAAAGTTAGGCTTTTTTTCAGAACACTGTACTAGAAAAGTACATTTTGAATACACTTTTTTTTTTGCTGTATGACCGTCATTAGCAGTGAATATTTGGCAATAAATAAAAACAATGCCGACCTCAGGGTGTCACGTTAACACTTTATCTGCTTTGTCACCGGCACTTAAGAATGAATGAATTCATAAGTGTGTGCAGCAATACTCCCCCCTGTTTTGGCCGACTTTTGAGGCGAGGACAAGCATTCTGCATGTCTGCTGGCCTTGATGACGAACCCAAGACGAGGAGGGAGGACGCTCACATTAAGATAACGGCCCATACACAGCTGCTGGTTGAACCTGATTTTAAGCAACTCTTCCAGGTTGTGTCTCCGTTCCATGAGTTTTCTGGTGGCCAACGCGTTGGGTTTTAAGACGCCGGGCTTTTCATCTGCGAGCCCGCCCGTCCTCACAGCCTGCACGTCTCTGCGTTTGATCAGCACACAGGCAAATCTGAGGAAAAAGTGTTTCAAAATGTATCCAGTGTGCTGCGAGGGGTGCAGAGGCCAGATATTGTGTAAAACAAAGAACAGTTAAAACGCGCAGAAGCATCCCCAGATGTTTTTCTGCGGTAGTCTTTGCTGTGGGAGAAATCAATAACTGTGGGCTACGATGTGCTTTTAGCTTGTTCGCTTGACCTTTCCATCTCTGCAGCAGCTACTGCGCTGCAGTTTATTCTCCCCAAAAAACAGATTTCATCTCAACTATATTTGGATTTAGACATTTCAGCTGGCTGTAATGCAGAGACTCTGGAGTCTAATGATTTATATCAGTTATATTTCTATAGAAAATGTGGCTGTCTCTCATTTAATTCTCATTCTAATGCAACCATAAAAACAGGTTTTACCGTGCTGCTGTAAGTACTACCCATTGTCAGCATTTTTTTAAATTATTTTTGTGAAAATGTTGCCAGACATTGGCTACTAAGCCATCCAATAGATGAATGGAATAACAAGAATGACAGACTGGGACTGAAAAAATCACTTCAAAATGTTCAAATGGTCTTTGTTAAATTTTGTTTGTTGCAGCTCTAATGAGGTAAAGACAGCTTTAAACGATAGGATGAAAATTTTTCTCTTTTTTGACTTTCCCCACTCAATTAAAATGGAAATTGAAAAGCTGTGTTCCTGCTTCCTGGACAGATAGTAATGGAGGAAATTATGTCATGACCTGCTCACTTCCTTTATGAACTGCATCAGTGGCTCTTTTGGGGAAAGACCCACAA